GTATCGCGGTTGTCCGGCCGTGTGCCGTACGCCGATGGGTTTTTTTATTATATATTTTTTTTTTTTTTTTTTACTATTATTATTCTCGTTATTAGGGCCCACCCATTCTGCAGGACATGACATTCGGTCTTGCAAATAAGTTATGCGCGCACAACTACTGCTGCAGCTGGGGCATGCGACCATACACGTCATACGACTGAGTATAATAATATGCCGCCGCCGAGTGCGTTTGATATCATGAATATTATTATTATTATTATTATTACGAGTAATTAAAAATTAAAATAAAAAAACAATTGGGTCAAATATTATGTATGTGTTTTGTGTATAGTGTGTTACGTCAAGGTTTAAACGAGTTAACGAAAAAAAAAAAAAATAATAATAATAATCTAAAACAAAATAATAGTATTATATTATGAATTTTATACGATACGATCGTAATAAATTTTAAATACCTACCCATTAAGATCGCAATGCAGGTACGAGAGAGAGAGCCATAGGTATATACGCCGGCAGTGCGAATCGATCAGACTAAATCAGAATATTAATCGCTATCGTGTTTCTCAGATAATAATAATATTGTCATAAACATTACACTTAACAGTTAACCGAGTAAAACGTCAAACACGATAAGTTCGCGAACCAAGTAGTTTTTATTTATACGAACGTCTATCAATATATTCTGGAGGCGAAATGATTATTTTTAATGTTGTAGATTTTTTTAATCATATTTCGTGTTAAGTGCAAATTGATTTTTTTCGAACCGACGTTTTGCCATAATTTATTATACCTAGTCGATTGATTTTCCTTACACATACCTAGTTACTGAGCAAAACGCGGTTATTATTAATGATAAATCGTCAATTATTTTAGCACTAAACCATCGAACGACCCTTGTTATAAGACACACGGGTGGACACGTCTTATATTTATTCAAAAATTATGCACCGAGTATACATGTACATTATTAAGTTCAAAATGTTAACATTTTAAAGATATTATATTTTTTTTTTTCAAAAATATGACTAAAATATAGCTTACACGCATTTTTAATTTAAATAAATCATCGTTTTATGTAAATCATTATCATATAAAAATCGCATAAAGCATATTCGTTTCGCTATAATTAATGTGTATTTAATATAATGATTGTCTTCTCCTCCTCCACCCCAACCCCCCTTCACCCGAGACCAATTTCACCACGACTTATCGATAAAAAATAAAACCGCATAAAAAAATTACATAGTTCTATATAATTTTACGTTCACTATATAATATTATAATTTACGAGATTAAGTCACATCATGGATGATAATTATGTATAATATCGGACATTGCTGGTGTATATAACTACTTAATATTTTCCTCCAATCGTTACTTTGCTGAATAAGCTTAACAACGTATAGGTATATAACATAATATAATATAAGAAATTTAATCGGTCAATTTGAACTCGTATATCATAATATATGTAACATTAAGGCCGCATTAAAAAACTATGGCTGCAGATTTACAACAGATTATTCAAATTGTGACGTTATGGAAAAAAAAAATTACGGATTAATTTTATACATAAAAGTATAAATAATAATAATAATAAATTATATTTTAATAATAGTTTTCGCGAAATGAAATACCGATACGATCTCAATAACTGCAGCTGCAGCAGTAACGGTTTATTCAAGTGCCCGCAAAAACCCACAGAAAAAACGGAGTTATCGTGCATTCGCGATATACAAGAATTAAAAAATTGTAAGTCATAGCAATTTATGATCCAATAGTTCAGTCTCATATGACATGGAACAACTAGGTGTAACAAATTGGGAAGAATACGTCCGAGACAGAGAGTCTTTGAGGAATTTTGTAACAGCCTCAAACGCTCTTGAAGATCCGTAAAGCGTAAGAAGAAGAGTTTAGTCTCTTATGTCCCTCAAACAGAATTCAAAAATAAGTAGGTATAGTGCATTATTAGTGTCCCTACTACCTACTAAGTATAAGATAAGACCGAGTTATATAGTGTGCACTCTGTTGTTGTGTCCCACGATTAAAGATATTATGGTTGCCCAACGAATCTAGAAAAGTGTATACCGAAATCGAAATGAATTTCCATAATCTGCAGTATTAAAAAGCCGCACCAGTGCTTATTTGTTGTAGTGACTAATGCAGTTATCTTTCAAATGTAAATTGTGTGATATTCACTATGACATACAAGTGCTAGTGCTTAAATCTCCAGCTGATTAGTTTAACTTTAATACTGATTATAGAGATTCATTTCGGTAGACATTTTTTAATTATGGGAATCATGGGTTGATGGGCAACCATACTATCTATAGCCGTGTTGTGTACACACGGTATAATATTATTTTATTAACAACGCACTCATTGTTCTGCACGTCATAGTTTGTTGATAAACCGTTTGGCATAACCGTCTGTCGTGTAAATACAAGTTGTTGTGTAGGTATGTGCGAAATACAAAAGTTTTATAAAAATTTATGATCCAATAGTTTTGTCTCATACCCCGCATACATAATTCAAAAATATATAGGTATAGGGCACTCACTACTGAGTGGGATAATTAGTAACCTATAGTTATAGAGTGTACATAAGAGCAATTTCAAATTTTGGTTGGGGGGGGGGGGCTGAATATATTAAAGGCAAGCAAACCATTGCAATATAACATATTAAAATTGTATGTCCTAGGTTTTTGGGGGGAGGGGCTACGGCTAAGTTTGGGAGCTTAGCACCAATTTCCGTCTATGAGAGTGTACCTTGTTTCTGTGGACACATGGTATAATATTATTTTATTCCAAAGATTATAATAACATCAAAATATGCGTTTTTTATTCGCTTTTACTACACAATATCTAATACTGCTCTGGGTGCAGCAGGATTTTCGTGCAGCTCACGCATTGTTCTGCGCATGGTTTGTTGATAAGGAACGGTCGTGTAAGTACGATCAGGTTTACTATATAATTATTATTATTATTATTATTATTACTATCGCGGTGCGCGTGAAAACGCTTGTGTGCTTTTGAGAAACTGCATCGCGTGCTGCTCGCGCCCGGCACGGAAATTTATTGCAACGATCGACCGGCAAAGATAAAGACGTAACTACCACGAGTTAAATTTTTTTTCTTCACACACACACCTATATATATGATATTATATATAATACGAATAAAGGTAGACACATACACATATTATACGCATATAATACGTGTGGTGAGTAGAGTGTGTATAGGTACCTACCTATAATAATAATATATGTTCGCCGCGACAATCCAACGAGTTTGATTATTTATGATCTTTATAGACGACCGCGTTTGCGACCTGTGCCACGCTGCTTGTAAACGCGAATCGAAATGAAAATAATGGATTACTGCACGGGACCCGATTTAATATAGGTACACATATTATACTATTACATTATGTATTATTGTAGTGTTTATCGTAGAAAGGCGTTTTACTCGGGGGCTTTCAACGGGACGAAATTGGAGAGTAACAAAACACCAAAGTAATATTATATTATTATATTCAACGGATAAACAGCGCCTTATATAGCTAATATAATAATATTAATAATATGATATTGGCAGTGTACACATTCAGAATTAAAGTAAACAAATTCTGTTAAACTCATTGTTTGTATGAACAATTTTAAGTATTGTTCGATGAAAGTTATATCGGCGCTAAGACGATGGTGAATTATAAATAAAAATGATATTAAATATTGTATTTAAAAAAACAAAAATCGGTTAATGATACACACGTACCTATAAATACACATGTACCTATAGGTATATACCTACGCATATAAATAAATAATAAGTGTAACTAATGACCATTGAATTATGCGTTGGTGCAGTTCTCGTTTCCAAATAGATTTTTCGATGATTTGTTTTTGTAATGGTAAAATAATCGTACTCACAAATTGTTATTACCTACCTATGTCAGTGCTGTCTAAAAAATAATTAATAACGTAACTGTTTTCATCGGAAATTTGAATCTGATCAATGGCGATGGTATTGAGTTTACTGTTTTGATTATGAAATCAATAAAATATATAAATGAGCATTATATGATATAACATTATTAATTTGAGACATTGTTTTGACCGTCGTACTGACGGACGGCACTAACTTGTACCTACATATTTGCTAAACGACCATCAAGATTCGAACTTGAAGCTATTTTTATGTATTTATACTTAATAATAGGGACAATTTTGTAATATCACAAGACTAACGAATCACATCATAATGTAAATAAGTATGTTTCATCATTCATATAACCTACAAAAGCAATTATTTTTAGATTTTTGTTTGCACCCATTCACGTTAAACACTTGATTTCTTACCAAACTACTATTTGAGAGCCGCTGGCAATATTTCTTGACCAATTAAAAATATGCCCAGCAGATTATATGAAAAAGGAAAGGCAGAATTTGTACAGTAATTGTTTAAAATTTATTCGTAAAATTAGTTTATTTTCTATTTTTTGTTCAGTATTGAATCATTCTTGCCGTTTTGTTTTTTTAGACATAATTAAACACTGTTATGGGAAAATAATTTTTTTATGTTAATTTTTTAATAAACAACCTAACTTCACTTTTACTAGATTTTATTGGATAAAATTAAAAAATTTACATATGTTTAACACAAGCATACATTAGAATATTTTTTTTTTTTTAATTTTTAAATTGTTAATTAATTTATTCATGAAACTATTCAGAATTAGTTATAATATGTTCTAAAAAAAAAAAATCCATAGAAATCGACACACTATTCAAATACTGAAATACACATATATTTTGATCTGTACGCGTAAATATTGTATTAATATTATCTCAAATAGTGCTTCTACGGACCGTACTCTATAGTAATAGTTTTTTAAATCGACAATAATATTTAAAACAAAATGAAAAATACTTTTGAATATTATTATGTATTAAAGTAGAAAGTATTAATTCATAATATTATACGTTGATTAATGGCAGTGTATTAATGTAAGAATGGAAGATGAGGAGGGTGTGGTGTGCGCATTTTTGGTGCTTTGTACATAATCATCATTTCAATGATAAATACAGTAATGCTCAAGATAATTCCGAATGATAAAACAATGAATGCTATTTCGAGATCTCTAACAGAAAAAACTTTCGAAGTATCGTAATCTTTGGGATTGATTGGCTTGTATTTATTAAATATGTACTTGGAAACATCACCGTTCCACTTGAGTACCAGTCCAGCCTGGTCGATCCACGACAGCAAGATATTTATTCTTCTTTTATACGGCGAATTCCTAAAAAGAAAAATTTCAAAAAACGAGTGAACACTGCTCGCGCATATTTCGTAAAGTTTCATGGAAAAAATGCCGTTCCTACATATATATATATATATATATAGTATTTTATCACTGCAATACCTATGAACTACGTATGATATAAAGTACGATATCAGACACTCGTTCATTGTGTGCAGTACGCGAGTGTTGTTCCTGTTGGCGATGAACAGAACGTCTTTGAAATGTTCCAAATTGAAGACGTTAACGCGCTCGAACCCGGCGAACTGGCCGTCAGAATTATGTACGTCTACTTCTTTTTCCCACTTCTCGACCCTGTAGGCTAGAGACTTCAAGTTTGGGTCTCCGGTGAGTATTTCCTTGAAGCTGATGCTGGACGTCCGAATCGGCAAGTCCGACTGTTTCAGGTCGGTGAACGTATTGACATCGGGATAGTGCATCGGAGTGTTCAAGAACGTCACCAGTGAGCCCTATACAACATAATATTATAATAATACGCCAACTGCAGTCACTATAATATTAAAATATGACTATCGATCGCGTTATGAAGTATCGCTGACACGAGTCGTTGTGTCGTATTTTATAGTGGGCGGTATGAAAGAATTTTTATTCGGAAATTCGATCCAATGTAAATCAATATTATTACCTATGCGCGCTCGAGTAACCGCGGTCGGTAGTATACCTACCGCGGTACATGCGCCCAAGTGCCTATACATAGTTACCTGGAAAGCGTTCAAGATGACAAGGGTAAAAAACAGACAGAACGAAGTCAATATCCTGCGACAGGAGAGAGCGAAAACTCGGTTGGTCGGTGCGCCGATGAACATCCTGTAGATCTCCAGCCCCAAGTCGGATCCCGTTGGTCCGGGCCTGTGAGTGTCCAACGCCGCGGCCGCGAAGTATATGGCGGTCACCAGTACGCACGTGATGGCGGTCATCATCCAGACTTCTCTCTGGAAGCTCATCAACACGGTCATCATCGGCGGGATGACGCCGGCCTTGGGTGTGAGCAGACACACCTTGTCGCTGGTTATCTGTCGCGATCGGTGAAAATCCAGTGAAAACCAAAATAATGATAATAATGTAAATTATTATAATACCGTATACCACTATTGGCATTAGAAAGTCGGAACAATATACGGGCCACACGATAATATTATTATTATATATTATATTATAATAGCTGTTACGAATATGGGCAATATAGTGTAGGTACCTATATAGGTAGTGGGTATAAGTAAGTACTATTATAGTTGTCAATGTGTGTTCGAACCGCACGCAATACGTACTACTATTGATTATACATTATTATAATATACATATATTGATATATGTATATATATATATATGCAAAATAAGCGATATTACATATTTCGTTCGTTATATTATATACTTGCAGTGCAACAATAATATATATATATGACACACACTCGCACAACTGCATACAGAAAAACACAATTCGTTTACCGGGAACATATTATGCATGCGGTAATTATATTATATTATTTACTATAAAACAGTTTCATAATAATATATCGTGTCTGTATGTGTAGGCTTACAATATAATATCATAGGCACTGCAGTAGGTATATATACACTATATGTCTATATATATCTATATAGTATTGTTATTATTAAATCCAACTATGGTGGCAGTAAATTATAATATTATTATCATGCAGTTTTTACTCTCTGTACGTGTCAATGGTTTCATATTAATATTACTCCAAACGGAAAACCATTGAAAACAACGTTGCTACAATAATAATAATATTATTATCGTGTACCTCTATACATTATGCTATCATTCGTACTCGTTATGTTTGAAATTCGAAAAAAAAGATTAACTCGTTTTTAGACATTTTAGCGAGTCATAAATTATGATTTCTGTTTCACGGTGATTTCTACACGACGCCCTCGAGCACCGGTTGCAGTAGTAGGTATAATATGCGTGCGAGAAACGACATATTATTATGTATATGTATAATTTTCTTGGGTGACCTATCGACCTACGATATTATTATTATTATTGTTTTTTTTTTCCTTAAGGAATACCCAATATTAGATAGGAGGTACCCTATACACCAAGTATATAGGATGATTCACCAAACGTGCACATCCTCTTTTTTCATCAATAATGCGCAGTTAATCAAATTTTGATTTTTGGAATATATATATATACTTAAAGGACGTATTTTCAAATTTTCAAGGTTATTTGTACTACCTACTTATAAAGAGTGTCCTGTGCAGAGATGCAAACTTCTGTTTTGACAGGGGTGTCATTTGGGGGGGGGGACTATGGCAAATGCCCCACTCTAAGAAATTTTAAGAAGTCTACAAATACTTTGTCCGATGATCAAATGCTAAAATCGGTAAATACTAAATTTATATTTACTATTTTGTATTCAGAAATCAGATAATAATATTATCTTTTAAATACACATTCACGGTTTATTAAAATGTTGGGAAACACTGGCTCCTCTTCGGCTTATGTTAATCGTTATTATCCGAAACACTTCTATGGAATATCAAGAGAAATTCTAAAAATAGATATACAACAAATAGTTAGTTTTGATAACATCGAACGTCGATTGGCGACTAGCATGCTCTAATCACTAATTAGTATTACTATGCTGAAGATTACGAAGCTGTTGATATTTTTGCTAATCGAAGATATTCTTTAATATTATAATATATGTATAATGAGATATTTTTAGGATACAATTTTATGTTTTGATAAATAAGTTCTGAAAAGTATATAAATACTCATATAAATTAAAATATAGTAAAGAGCCCATGAGGTTGCATAGATAATTATCTTAGATTTTATAAGAGGTAAATTCGCTCTAATTTTTAAGCTAACGGAGCTACACGTGTTCTGTGCTGAGCTTAAAATTTGAAATGTTACTCACTTTTAAGACGGAGACAGCACATGCCTCACGTCCTCTTAAATATACAAATAATAAAATTATAAGTATTTATTTAATTATATTTATATTATTATTCTATTTAACTTATTGATAGGTAACTTATAGGATAAGTAAATAAATTAATGTTTTACTATCTTAAATGTTATTATTTAATTTGGTAAATTGAAAAGTTTCATGTTCTTTGTTTATCATCATGATATCATTATTCATTACTAACCCTTACATGTTTTGTTCCGAAAAAATATTTTGTTGATGGTCTATCGTCCGTCCATATAAATATTAAATATATAGGTAACCATAATTTTTTAAATATTATAAAGTCGGAAAATTTAATCAGTTGCCCAAAATCTGAAATGGCGCCCCTATGTTTTGAGAGCCCTTTTTTATACTGTAAATATTATGTAGAGGATACATTTTTTTTTGTCAAATCAAAATCAAAAATCGAACGTATTATTGTTTTTAGTTACCTATTTAACTATATTAATTGTGTACTAAGGCAGGGAACAGGAAAGCTATGCAACGATTTGAAAATGTCAGTAATTGATATATCAATCTATCCATGGGGGGGGGGGGGGGTGGGGTCATTCGAAAAATAGAAGTTTGTATCGCCTCAGGACACTCATTGACCAGTACAACGAATCTCGGAAGGACTTGAAAATAGTACATTTAGAAATAAATAGTAATCTTAGAAAATAGTGTTATAGTGTATTTAAAAATTCCGAAATTCGAATGTGTCTGCATTCTGTTAAAGAAAAAAGAGGCGTTGGTGGCAGAATCGCCCCGTATAATAATATATAATACAGTGGAACCTCGATAAGTCGAAATTCAAGGGAAATGCAATTTTTTCGACTTATCAAGGTTTTCGACTTACTAAGGTTTTCGAGTTATCAAAGTTTTAGAAAAAAAATTTGACTTAAAGAGTTTTAAAAATGTATGTATGTATTAAAGTTTTTAATTATTATGTACTTAGTATATATTATGTATATACAATGTAAAAAAATGTGATTATACAGATTATTTAAATAAAAAAATTATTACAAAAAAATATAATACTTTATAAAAGATAATTTATTATTTTACTTTGACTTAAAATTTGATATTTACTATTATCAATTGTATTTTCTATTACATTTAAAGCAGAGTACACTTTATCGTCCACATTACTCAATTGTTAGGTGAATGTCCTTAGCAATATGAGGGCTGCTGTTGAGCTGTTGAGCTGCTGATGAAGATTAGATAAAATTATTGGAACGGACAAGCCGATTAGATAAATGTTTATAAAATTATCTGCCATTATCCGTCATATTCGGAGCACAGAATGTTCGAGTTATCTATAGTTTTTTTTTCGAGTAATCGAGATTTTCGCAAGGGGATGGAATTTTTTTCGACTTATCAAGGTTTTCGACTTATCGAGGTTCCACTGTATATTAATATTAAAGATAACCGATGTCGGATTTACGTGTCTGGTGAGCTCGGCCAAGTAACAGTTGTAGTCTTTCAGAAAGTGTCCGTTGACCGAGACGTCGGCCTGGCCGCCGATCACACCGGCGAACGTGCCGTACGCCCTGCCGGCCGTCCGCCTGTACCCGTAATGGATCTTACCGTTGGCCGACGGCTCGGAAATGTAAACCGGCGTGGCGTTCATTTTGGCGGCAAGCACCGTGGCGAACGTGCCGTCCTGGCCGACGTACGTGCCGCCCGTCTTCGCGATCACCGTCGGCATCCGATTGTTGATGACGAACCGCAGCGGGAATCGCCGCAGGTTACCGATCCGCGAATGGAGTATACCGGGTATCCGTCTCAGTGACCGCGGCGGTACGTTCAAGAACCGGCCGTCGACCGCGTTGTGGACGAACGGATCGAGGATTTTGATCACGGTCGGCGTCACCACGATTATCCTGGATGGGGAGTGGGTGGGGGTGGACAAAAAAAAGTCGAATTAATCTTTTGCGAAAGCGCGCGATATTTCACGACTCTTAGGTATAATATTCTATTATAATACTTAATATTATTATAATTAGGTATCAATCAAATGATAGTTTTATTATTATTACCGTTATAATATATGGTCACAGGCGTATAAAACAGAGTATAATATTAATTAAAATAAAATATGTAGATCACGAATCTCGAATTTTCTCGTCCGAGTGTTGTATAATATTGTGATTAATAATAATCTTTGATTATAATATTATAGTCACAGCGGGGTTCTTCGAGTCGGATTAGGTCAGCTGCAGGGATTGAAACTGCATCGCCACGAAGAGAAACAGAACGTTCTATTTTTCAACATTTTAAGAATCGCAGAATCGATGCGATATATTAATTAGATAATGTAACACTGAGGACCAATCTACTTCCGTGGATAAGATTGTTTTGTTAGATGATTTATAATTTATAAGTTATATATTAGTTATACATTGGAACTATTGGTTAATATCGGTGTTAGCAGATATACAAAATTTTGATTCTTAAGAACCAAAACCGGAAATATTCTGAGTTTGGTATGACAAAATATATATTACGTAGTTCTCAGTCTATTTTACGAGACATACAGACATATAGAAAACGAAAATATATTAAAGTGGTCGTTTTCTTAAATTATTCTTTGTAAGATTGCCATTATATTATATTATACAATGCCCTTATTGGATAATTTTCTGTGCTCAATGGCTCGACTCGGAATAATACTGTGACATATTCTGACGACGACCAGTCAACCTCCCTATTATTTTCAAACAGAATCGACTCAAACGATAAAATAATAATTTGTCGTAGGTATATAGCAGCAGAAAACCTGCAAATATACGATTTAAACGGCACACGACTATAAAACGTACGATCGTGTTTTCTACGTTAAAACAATAACTTTGACGAATTCTAAATTCGTATCCCTTCATAATGGTCCCTGCGGCCCTGCAGATGTGGCAAACGATTAGAAATAGATGCATAAGATGTGTCGAACAAATGTGTTTACCAGAATATATTTTAAACGTCTTATTGTGATTACAATATTATATCATTATTCATTATATCGTAATGATAATAACTAATAAGGGGTATACGCATAATAATATTTTTATTTGTTTGTAACTCTGTACCCCCACGCTACCCCCCACAATTCGAGCATTGCAGATGTCGAAAATATAATTATTATTTATTTAAATTATGTTAAAATATATTTTTCATTCGACGTGGCGACATGATAGTACGGCCGAGCGGGATAAACCGCTAAAACGAAAGAAGAAAAAACAGACACGTTGTAGACGTCCTACGTGTGTACGTTGCGGAACACATTACTCACGAACCGATGCCATGAGCGCATAATATACCTCGAGAGCGTCTTATACGCCACATCGTTAAGGAATTTAATTTATAGCTCATCGGTCGCAAAACGGCGTTCCGTCGCGGCGTTTTCACCGGATGGGTAAAAGGAAGTAGGTATAATAATGAGGTATGATACCTACATACGCCTCGCACGGGTATATACCGACCTACCAGCCATAACCTATCTATACACCTACCCAGGCATCCGGAGGCATATTATTGTCGCGCAGCTATCGTTTCATAATATTATATTATACTCTTGCAATCGCACTTCCTGCGCTTTGGGTAACGGTATAATATTATGATATTATACCGGGCTGGTATCGAATCGGTTCCCGATCCCCTACCCCACATGCTGAATAGGTTCCCTTTCGAAAAATGTATTTATTTTTTTTTTTATCAAGACGAGCCTGTTTCCGTTCGGGTCAAACAGTTCGATTTTCATTTTTAAGCAATTTATTTTTGCAGTATGAAAACATATATTCATATAATATTATAAAATTTAGGTAGAAAAATAGGTAGCTGGCCTAAGGGCTGAGTGACAAATTTCGAACGAACCCCGAACCACCCCAAACATTAACTTTTGCGATTAAGGGAAGCGTTAGTAATTACGTGGCGGGAAAAAACCTAAGGCCTGCCTATAGGAATATATATCATTACTGTAAAGTATTCGGTTTGTCGTCGGGCCGGGCATTATAATAATATAATATCCTCGTTGAGCGCCAGTTCCGAAACGACGATAATAATATTTAATATTCCGGTTTTCTCTTTTACTATATACATAATAATATTAATATCTCCACCATATTATACCATATAACATTATACACAGATAGGTATATTATAATAGTAATAATACGTTCGCTTCATTAATTTCCCTCGTGCCTATGCCGGAGTACTTGTACCATAATATTACACACATAATATATACCTATATATATATTAGGTATATAGTATATACCTACGTTCGCACCGGCCCACCATCGGTCGTCGTCGGTCGGTATAGGTACCTACGTACATACACTATATAACGTATTATGGCGTTTCGACAAACCTCCCATGAACTCATCAATTAAGTCCTCGGCGTTGAGACTAATATACGCGTGCGTCCACCCACCCCGGAGAATCGTATAGGCAAGTATAATAATAAGAAGAAATGTACGGTGTACATACCTAATACCTAAGCAACTTCTGGCTCGTCGCCGCGTCGGTCAAATAATAATCAATTCGTCCGAACATGGTTATAAATTATAATATTATACGACGATATAATGCGAGTAATGCGGAATTACAGGTTCCCGAGGCGAATAAAATGTGCGAATTAGTTCCCGACGAAAATTACTAATCATAATATTATAAGGTATACGACGCTGTGCGAATTGGTTCCCATATTATGTACAAATCAGTATTATTTTATCAGGTTATACTGCAATGTCTGGGAGACGTTATAAAATATTATATTATTATTATATTATCTATAATAGATTGGCGAAAAGGAAAAGTTGATTGGTGAAAATATAAAACAAATTGAACGACTGCATTTTGAACTTACAATATTCGTCAAAAATCTAGGTATGTCGTAAATTCATACCACATTTTTTTTTCTTTAAATATTATTTCAACCTACTTATTATTATAGTACCATATTATTGATATTATTGTTTTATTATTATTAGGGTTGACAATTAATACGTAGCCGCGTAGCTTATATTATAATGTATATAAATTGACTATAAAAATACTTTAAACCATACCTTGGTATTCTAAACAGTCCTAATAGTCTGTGTAAAACGGGGATAAAATTGTTGGTTGAGTATGATATCATATTAATTTGAAAGTTAATTTAACATGGTTGTATATAATTATCATTATGAAAGCTCATCGGAACCAATTTGTATGTTACCTGTGATCAACCAAGAAACTAATATTCGATAATACTGGGAACCAACTCGTAGTCGTCCGACGATATAACTATAATACATACTTGCAGCCACCACTGAAGTTATAACTACTCCGCCGCTGCGTTTGGGGTTATAAAAATGTCAACTTAAGTCTAAACGGCGTGTGCAGTGTGCACGCTTAAATACAAACCTTTATATCGTATTATTATTAGGTATAAAGATTTGTTTATACGGCGTCATAAAACAGTACACGTTGTTACTTTAACCAATTCACCTTTTACAAGTTACTTTTACACTTGCAGGGACGTTTAACTGTTAAAGTATACAACTTTTTTTAAAAAATAATGTACTAACTAAATAATGTATAACTTAATACGATATAAATGTGCGCAAATACAAATAACAAACTATAGTAACATAAAACATATTTTTATTTTTATTGACAGTTATAGGCGCTAGGCGTTACCCTCTAAACATTTCAATTTTTGTCTTGGAGGTAAACGAAAAGGTCGCTTTCGGCCACTCAAAATCTATCTGCTGAATTAAACATTTTGATTATCAGTGAACTACTGAAGTAAACGTTTTTTTTTTTAGCAAAATTGGTATACTATCTAGTATCTATATTTTGAAAAGCGCGCCTACTATGGATAAGGGGGGAATTCTTCGATTAAAAATACAGTCGAACCGCGATCGCACACCTACTTGTAAATGGAGAGGTCGCGCCATAAGCCGTACACCATCTGTCGGACGGCAGGGTCGAAACCGTTGTCGACAACGATCAGGTAGTACACGTCCACGTCCCAGAACGTGTAGTTGAGTTGGGCCAGTTCGACGAACGGGTCCGGGTCCCAGGCCGGCGGCGCGATACTGCGGAACAGGACCACGTACCGTGACCGCAGCGGTAACAGTGATCCTAGACCGCGGTCGACGGGACGTCGGCAGGGTTCGGGGAGTGCGCCGTCTTCGCCGTCAGTGTCACGCGGACGGCCGTCGGACAGCAGACGGTCCAGATCGACCGCGTACACGGGCTGCTCGTAGCGAGCCTGCAGAGTCCTCAAGAACCCGTACGGTACTTCGTCGTCGACGCCACTTCCGCCAGGTCGGCCTCCCCTTCCGGACCAGTGGATCGCCACTACCATCACCCCTCTGCCCAGCGACGACGAACCATTCTCTATCGATGAGATTATGCCGCCGACCGTGGTCGTTGTGGTCGTATACAGCTGCATGCCACTTAAATTACTGGAACGTATCGGCTCGAGTCTCCCGACTATAGTCGTCACCGTTGACATCGACAACAGGCCCTGCGCTGACGATGTTTCGTTTACCATATGAACATAATAGCGTCATATTATATAATATTGTTCATAATATTATTATTATTATTGTCGAGGCTGAACAAGAAATTTCTTAACTCGCCGAATTATTTTTATTTTTTATAACTATTTACTATAGTTATACTTTTCAAAGTTAAGTGTATAAAAAAAAGTGACTCAACTTAGTTTAAAATCAGTTAAATACACAACTTTTTGAAACTGAATATTTATGCAATCCTTATACTAGTGCAGAATAAGCAGATTTAATAAAAGTATTTTATACTACCTATGCACTAAAAACAGAAACATTATTAGTAAGCATATAGATATATATTGCATATATTATAAGAGTAATTGACTCACCAGCACTAAGAGACCTAGAGGACGACCAAAACAAAGATGGATAGATATAATACAGGTATAGAATTAAAGCTTTTGAATGTAAGAAACGCAGGAGAATGTGCGAAAAATAGAGATGTATGGAGACAATTGTATTATACTATATGTATATAGATTATGTTTTTGAGGCGATGGGCCTTAAAGGCATGTAAAAGCCTAGAAGATGAAGAAGAAGAAAAAGAAGAAGAATTGACAGAAAAAAATAACGAAATGAGAAGGTGGATGATAACCCTAACTTAATAACTGAAGTTAAAAATTATTTAGATTAATTTTTGATTTGTTACTTCGTTGTGAGATTTTAAATTTATATGTCTTTGAAGAAGATTAATAATTATAATTTTCTATGTTATTTTGATCCCTATTTACATACAGAATTAATATTAATGCATTCAATGTTTGGAAAATATATAATTTAGTAGGTAACTTTAATACATAATATAACATGGTTCTGAAAAAATAAATAATTCATAGAGTTGGAATAGCATCTTTGACGAAAAAAAAAAATGTAACTCGTTATAATATGTAACCTTGTTAAAAGTAACTTAACTTTTTAACTCGTTAATGTCCGGCCTTGTGTGTTATTACTTATTATTATTATTATTATACTTACCAGAACGAAGACATACGACGACATCGAACGGCTATTCTGAAACCATACACATATTATATAGGTAGATACACATGGAAATGACTTAGAGGAAAAGAAAATTAACTTTGTGCAGACACCACGTCGTGCAGGTATATCATAATACCTATATAGGTAGTGTTGGTGTTGTAGGGCCTTCAATGTCTACGTAAAACAGCTGTGTAGCTATGATGATGATGATAATTATACGAGCGAATGACATGATCTGTCTGGCTCGTGTAAAAAAAAAAATGATAATAATAATATTGTTTGACCCGAGCGATAAAAAAAAGAAAAAACCCGAAATCTGTGTGCCGTGTCTCGCGAGTTAAAAACGGATGACGTATATAAATAATAATAATATAATGTATGGGTAGGTAGGTGTTAAGAAGGCGTTTGGTAGCCGCCGCGGGTGTGCAGTGCAGTGCGACTGTATAATATGATATTATTATGAGTGAAATTTCAGCACCCTAAGTAATACAACTGCAGTCGCGTCTATGCGATTTAAAATGTAATAACACGGTGTACCTCGGATACGATATAGGTATTATAATAATAATATTATTATGATTCGGTATGATTATTATTCTCGCGGCCGAAACGTTATAATTTAATATAATATAATATTTCGATTTTGATACCGCGTTTTTCGTGTGTGGTAAACGACTTTCATTACAAATCGCACGATTTATCGTACAAACATAATATTATACTTGTAAGTAGGTACATAACCTATTCTATGGGTAGTATTCTCTGCAGCGAGTCGAAGCGCACGTAACATTTTTTTTTTTTTTTATCTCGCAATAACCACTCGTTTAATAAACAACAACAATATAATAATAATAATAATAATTGTCCGTGGCACTATACCGGTAAGGCATAAAGTTGGTATCGCGATGATGATGATGATAATAATAATAATAGGTAGGTGCATTAATATACTGCTGCCGTTGCAGTTGTACAACTTACTATACTACGTATTTATTGTAATTTGCACAAAGTATTATGCAAATGTCGATTGTTGTTCGGGGACTTACCTCGTATAAGTAATAATATATTTCACCGGTAATCGACGATTAGATCGTTGGGACGCATTAGGCGCGGTCGTAAAAAAATTGTCGTTTTTAAGGCTAGTCCGGCGGTGCTTTTTAATGCTCTTGACAAAATGTCTAATATATTGGCATGACGCGTTAATGTCTCAAACGAAGTGTGAGTGCTGAACCGGAAGCGGTTATTAACTGACATTAGATATAGATACCGATGATTGACGGGAGGGGGGGGAACGATGATGTTTCTTTTAAAAAATATTTTTTCACATTTTACCAGTAGAGGTTGTTGCCGCCAATGAAAATAATAATTATGATTTTGTGAAAAAATAATATCCCGTCCACTCACACGCCGCGATAATGATGATAATATATCTGGTAAAATAAATATCATACGTAGGTACACACAATTATTATTACACGACAGTTCAATGAGCATAATAATATTGACACTATAAAAATGTTTTTTTTTCTACCACAAAAGTACGTGAACTTTGTTTTTGTAAATGGAATTTTCGGGGGCAGAATGTCTTTCCGACTGTCACGAATATTGTTATTTTTGTATTTCACACAATCGAACATCCATACGGCGTAGGTACAGAAAAATAAGTATTTCACTTAGATCGATGTTAGCATATTATGTTTATTATTGGAAAGTGATTGTGAAACCAAAATACTTTCAGAAAAAAACAATTTATTGCAGTTTATCACATCAAATCGAATTCAATGATATATTGTTAAACATTATTTTCTCTCTTGCAGTCAAAAATTCAATTTTATGTGTTATATTATATTATTACAAGAGTATTGTTTAATAAATTAAAAAAAATGAATGCCTAAATAAGAAACTCGTTGTGATTTTTAATCCCCAAAAAAATTTTACTCCACGACGATGACGTCCTTGAAAATATTATTGTGTTTTTATACGCCAGGCGGTTGGCGAGTATTAACTTTCAAATTCATTCAAGTATATAGTTTTCTTGCGGGTTTATGATCGCGATATCCGTGTGAACGCGGTTTTGTTGAGTTCTCAAAGCGTTCGACATGCCTATATATGTAAAAACTATCCATATGTTAACGTTTAATATAATATAATATATCTTTTATATGCATCATTTAAGTGTTGCGTTGATGGAGAGGACGAGGGGAAGGTTGAGGCTTTATTATATTATAACAAGGCTTGACATTAAAATGAAAAATTTTGATTTTAGTTCCTATTTCACTTATCGATGTTTGTTTTTCTGATTTTGAACTTAATTTTACATTTTTACAATTTTAATTTTTGATTTCTAATTACGAGTTACTCGTTGTCGTATTCGTGGCTGAGTAACACTCCTAAAAAAACGAAATATTAATTATTTATTGGTTGTTATTACCTACATACAAACAACATTAATCATTATAAGGACCTATCGGCTATTGTGTGATTTTTTTTTAAATTTATTAATCGATTTGTATATTATAAAAATTTTAAAACGATTTTTATTGACATTTTGAATATAAATAAAAGAAATATTTTATTTTCATATCACTTTTGTCGTCTAAGATGATTTTCTACGTTTTTTATCGATATTTAAAATCGATTTCCAGCCCTGGACTCTATATTATATATATATATATATATATATATTACACGTGAAAAAGGAAAATATTAAGATATGATGTTTTTCGTAAATTTTCACTTAACAAAAACAAAAGGGAAAAATATAATGTGGGTAACACTTTACAGGCCAGATTGGGCCTCCGAGCTCTCCGAAGATCTCGGTGGGCCGCTCAAAATATGTGCAGGTCACTATAGTGTTTGGTAGTGATTTTATTTTTATATGATAATGAGAGATCAGTACAAACATCAGTCGAAGATAATGTAATTGAATCGAATATTATTAAACCGTTCAATAGCTAAAACTGCGTATGGGTATAGGTAGTCAAACGTTAGAAATCCTAAACCTAGGTGGGCTCTGGTAACACGCATGGGACCACATGAGAAGTGCCTGTCTGAGATATTATGTAGAAAAATACAACATCTATTATACCTACGTCATTATACATATTTAAAGCATATTATTTTTTACTTTAATCGCCGCTAACCGGATACGTTTCCGGGCGAAAAAAAATGATCCGCTCCTCCTGGCAGTAAAACGGTAAAAATTACGTAATCAGTAGATAAGTACTATGTTTAAGAAGAACTGTATAGGTACGTCGTTAAGCGTTCAGTGAGCAACGAGCGGCTAATGATGACAACATCATCTTACATGCCTAGTAGTTGGGTTCTGTCAAAATACGTTTTGTCGTGTTTGTCGAACGAAAAAAATTATAGTCATTATGGATTTTGGGTTTTTTAATTTGTCTGATACAAGTCAAATTTAGGTCTGTCTGACTTTGTATGGAATATAATGTCCTCTATTGCGCCTGAAACTCTACTTTTCGACATGTTCGTTAATGCCATAGGTATAAATAATATTATACTATCATCTTTAATTCTGCCAAGAACAATTTGCACGGTAATAAGGCACAGAATAACGTTTTAATAATTATTATAAATTGTATTTAGGAAGGTTCATTAGTCATTATACGCAGTATCATAAAATTATTTTATTTACGTCGTTAATTTTATTAATCTTAAATGCTTATGAATTAGGTATGATTTATTATGATAAGTACTGTATAATAATATATTTTTATTCCGTACAAACAGCGTGTGGGTATAAGCCATAAAATATAAAGTAGGTATGTATATTGTATAATACTGAAGATAAACTGAGAATAAACTATAAATCCGTACAATAATAATAACAATATGTATAGGTAATACAGCAGAGAAAACAATATTATAATTTAGTTGTAAAAAATTATTGTGACTTTCTTTTAAATACCTACACGAAACTGTTTAAATTCGTATGCTTGTTGATTTTTTTATGACCCTGCAGAGAAATAGATCTTCTATAATATCATTATGTTTCTTCGGTTCACGACACACATTATTGGCACAAATACATTTTACAGCCGATGAAATAATGATATTGATACGAATAATAATGATAATAATATTGGAATATTATAATACTATTTACATATCGACCACCTACGTCATGTGAACGCGCTGATCGCTGGAAATATCCATTATCCGAGTTTATTATTAAACATTATCGCGACTGTTAACATTATTACTATTATTATCATTATTATTATAATCAGCCGTGTTCATATTATTAGTGTGACAGTATAAATGTGGTACAGATCCACACAACAGTGCGTATAGTGAAATGGCACACAATTCGTCGGAATGATTAATAATAATTCATAATAATATAACCAATGTGTTCACTGTAGTAATAGCCATAATTGAATTAATTCGTAACTTACTTAAAAAAAAAAATGTAGACATTAGAGTAGTGGTGCGAGTTAATTTTTATTCATTGTCGTTATTGTTTATTTTTCCAAATTAGATCGTCGAAAAAGTATTTCGACTTATTGACAAGGATTCGGACGGAATCATCACGCCATCGCAAGCAATGGATTTGATAACTACGATTACATACTCTTGCAGGTAATAACTTTTACTTCAATAATATTGTTATATTAATATAAAGCGACTGTACAAAAAAAAGAACATTTGGGGTAAAAACACGAGTTTGTGATAATTTTATGAATTCGTATTTTTGTAAATTATTTTTGTAAACAAAGTTTATTTATTTTCTGTCTTGATGTTTTGTTTAAAAACGCATTCGATTAACCACTGACGTGTTACTGTTTAGAGTGAAATCGGGATTTGACAGCGAGAACCTGATGTGGCTGGAACAGTTATTTAGACAAACTGTCGGGGATGAAATGGAAATCAAACGAGACGATTTCAACAAAATTTTAATCACTAAAAACGTAAGTTCTATCGATTATATTATTATTTTTAAGGAATAGCAGTAACTATAGTAAAATAATAATAGATCAGTGGTCTTCAACCAGTGGGTCGAAACTCGATTTTGGGCTATGACAAGGGTCACGACAGGTCTTATTTTTTTAAAAATAAAAGACAATTAGATAAGATTATAAAATTATAAACTACGAATGGATTGAAAAACCATTTACAGTTCAATTGTCTACTGACATACAAAATCAATTAATTGAGTTTACTTGTGATCCCAAAAGTAAGCAAATGTTTATTTAAATTTCTTTGGAAATGTCTTGGGCACACCTATGCACGGGAAAATACGAGAAACTAGCAGATAAAGTCTTTTCCCCTTCTTTATGGCCGACAAGGCTGGCATGGGTCTCGAACATTTGTTTACGATAAAAGTGGGTGAAAAGGGTTGAAGACCACCGTAATAGATCATAAGGTATATTATTTTCGGGCATGCTCACGGGAGGGGGTGAGGGTGACACATCCTCATAGACAATATTAGAATGAATAGGCCATTCCTATAATAACAAGATAAGGGGAGGCGGTCCGGAATGTGGATGAGAGACAGACTGATTTTATACTGTTTTTATAGTGCTCTCACTTCAGCAAGCATTAATTTTATATTATATCATTGATGAGAACTTTCGAAATTTTAAAATATCAAAATGTTCGTTCTCACGTTATAAATTCTGGTAGCCAATCCATTATTCTTATATTATTATCTATGCATATCCCCCCCTTATTTTCGTCATATTAAATGTACGATGAAACAATGAAAGTACCTATATATTATTTATCGATGTACAACGTGGTCTGATAATAGTGTGAAAAAATGCATATCCTCCCAACTCCTTTAAATAGATCTGAGCATGCCACTGAAGAATCTCATCATCTCGGTATAACCGAAAGCCGCGGGTAACGGAAACTGTCGGAAAAAAAAACGAAAAGTTCCTCCCATACATTATAACATTATTATTTCTGAGTGTTACACGTTTTGATTTATTATTTATATTCGAGTTGTCTATAATGCTACAACTACTTCATCAGCTGTATACCTACTATTAAGTATGAGGACATGAGGTAGTCTACTCGTTTAATATATTCCATAGCGATGTGAATTTGGTGCATCTAATTTTATTCCATATACAAAATATATTAAGTAAACATATAATCATGGGCGTATATTTTTTTAATATTCGTACTTATAGATATAGAACCACGGTTATAGACTGAGGCCCGGAGCGTCAAATGTTTAACCACCTGCAACTTTAAGATCAAAATATTTGTCCGTATATATTATAGTGGGTACCAACTACCAATGGTCCATATTATTATTATTATTTGCAGTAATCCGAACCGTTATACTATTATATTATTTCACCTCTGTGATTTGCGTGTCAGTGGTTTTTTTTTATTATTAGGAATTATACGATTGTAATTTAGAGCGGCAATATTGCAAACGCCTTGAAGTTGAGCAAATATAAATACACCACAGTGTATAATTTTACTGACTCGAAAAATTGAATATGAATGTAAAACACTATGCATTATAACTATATACAGCAACACTCTATAAATAATACCTACCTAGCTATGATTGATATATACAAAATTAAGTTATTAGGCAGCTGAACGTGCCTTTAAAATAGTAATTTTAAGATTTATTTAATAAATAGTATATTAATAATATAGTATATACCAGCTATGATATAAAATAAGTGTATGTAAGTTAAAAAAAACATTTTTTACTATTGAAAAATCTAACTATTTGTCAACAATTTTAGCCATTCTTCACTGAACGTGTATTTCAAATATTTGACAAAGATAACTCTGGGTCAATATCATTACACGAGTTCCTTGATGCAATGCACCAATTTGCAGGACAAACGCCAGACGACAAAATTCGATTTCTTTTTAAAGTTTACGACTTGGATGGTATGTTTATTATGTTCTGCATATTATTATTATATCGTATTATTATATTGTTTTAGTACAATCGTATAAAAAATAGCTTAACTATTAATTAAACCTATGATAGTAATATTGTACTTACTTATCGTATTTTTTATCTGTACTATAATAAGTATTAATGACAATACTCATAAAATAATATTTTAACCAATTCCCGTGTTTGATCTCACGAGAAAAATATTTTAAAATTTTAAAACAAAAAAAAAATTAAAAAGACTCGTCGTGTTCTTCTGTAATATTTCAATTGCATAAAAGTTAAAAACAATAATTTGTTGATTTCCAATATCCAATTTCAATGTGACGCCTAGTCGACGTTAAACTACCGAATGGGTTTGAAAATTAAAATCGATCTTCGTGATTGGCGACAAACCGGGAAACAGAAATCACCTTTACGATTTAATATCTTATAAAAAAAAAAAAAAACGAGAGGTAAGAACGGGCGTTTGAACGGTTGGAATATAATATTCGTCCTCGGAAACCGGAGCAGGATAGACGAAATAAAAAATAACAACGGTAATAAATCCGACGATGAATTTTTTGTCGTTGTTCAGGCGATGGTCTTATACAGCACAGGGAATTGCAGCACGTGATGCGTGCGTGTATGGAGGAAAACGGAATGCAGTTTTCGGAAGATCAAGTGGAAGACCTGACGATGGCGTTGTTCGAAGACGCCGACAGCGAGTCGAGGGGTGCCATTACGTACGAAGCTCTCAAGAATCAATTACAAAAACACAACGGGTTATTGGAAAATCTGTCGATAAGGTAACGTGACTCGTCGTTTGTATTTTTGAAGGATTATTATATATTATAGGCCAGGCACCTTCCAAAAAAAAAAAAATATAATAATGATATCCGTCCGTATTGTATAATATTATTGTTATATAATTATATTTTTTTTTCTTTTTTACACACGATCACTCCAATGAATAAAAGAGTATTTTTTTTTTTTTTTTTATCATCGAAACGCACATAATAATAAAATCATTCCGTACGATAGCTGCAGTACACAGCAAGCATTATAATAGACGTCTACAGTGTGATATAGATAATTCATATTTCAGTCTATAGGTCTGCCGGGCTGGTATGTTAAAATATACTAATTTTCTAGTGTTTTCGAGTTCACACCAGTTACCTATAATATTACGCCCAGGTCGATGGCTTTCGTGAACGATAAGTAAAATAATATGAATTAGTGTTGTTTTCGTTTGTGAAACGTGTGAAAAAAAAATCAATTACGAATAAACGTTTTCAAATATATGAGGCACTTAAATATATTTTTTATGGAAAATCCAAATGAAAGTAAACTGAAAATAAAACTATTAATAACTGATTTTTTTTTTTTTCATTTTGTTTCATTGGTCGGGGGAAATATAACTCTGTTAAAAAAACATAAAATATTTTTTAAATATTGTAATTTACCTTATATGTATATCAGTTGTTAATATTTAATTATTTTTCGCCTCAAGGGAGCTACTGAAAATTGGTTGTTTCATGTTGTTTCTGTCTTACACGTTTATTATTATGGCAAAATTGTAGCTGCCTGTAATTCACTTATTTTAACTACACGGTTCAAACTTAAAATTAAGGTACAGGTACGATGAACTATTATTAAAAATATTGAAAAAAAATTATCTTTCAGAAGTTTTAATACATTTTTTATTTTCAAGAATTCATGTTATAATTATATAAATTAGTCTTTAAAAAATGAACACTTGAAGTGCCTACCAATATCAAAAACTTAAAATTAAAATTAAAAAACTTCCTCCTAATACTAAAGATTTCTATACTACCCACTATAGATTGAAAACTATGAATTAAACAAATGTAAAGTAACTGCTCGTCCGCCGTGTTTGTGGTTGAAAAAGTTTCCATGGATGTAAAATTTGCCAACGATTAAAGTATAGGTGTACCTGCATATACCAAACGTATAAATATTATTTACATATTCGTGTCAATTGTCATCTGAGAAAAGGGTAAAATAAGATTAATTTGTTGACCAGAATTGCTTGTCCTGGGTAGACGCGTAATGCAATATATTAAGTCTGCGTACTTATCAAATTGTTCTCAACAATGTTTTATTTTAATTATGTACCATCGTAAAGGGATTTGAAGTATAAGATTTAAATGTAAACTAACTTAATTGGGGAAAAAAATATGAATTGATTTTAAGTTAATGTAGAGGCAAAAGAGTTATGTTAATTAAAACACCGAACTAGTAATTTAAGCTAAAATCACTTAACTTCTAAATTATGACCTCGTTAATGCCCAGTCTTGATCCTGAGTTATTAAAACGAGATATACTCTCTTAAACCAGGGTTTTCTTCTTTTATTGTCTCATTTTGCCGGTGATTAACATGGCACTGCGGTATACAATATATTATTATTACTATATTATTATTATTATTATTTATTATTATATCAAACTTTCGGTCCTTAAAACCATTTATACGGATCCCGTCGACCGGCAAGTGAAACATTATCGAGACACTCGTTGATAAAAACGCAATACTGTTTTTTTCTGCAGCATAGACCGCTGGTTAGTGCCGCCAAAGCCGAAACAGCCACCAGCCTCCGTCTGGGGAAAAATCACTGCTCTGCGTCCTTACCAGCTGACTTTGCCGTACATGCGCAACAACTACGTCTATCTGATATTTCTGGCGGTCTACGTACTCGTCAACACGTTGCTGTTCGGCACCAGAATCTATCAATATCGCAATTCCAACATCTACACGATTCTCGCTCGAGCCTGTGGTAAGCCATTCGACACGATTTACTAGATTATCATAATATACGCCCCTTGATAGTGTCGTCGTATCTCGTTCGCGTCCAGGGCTGCAAAGGTCCGTCTGATAATATTACAACACTATAGCATTAGGTATAGGCGTGCACTATATTATAGACTTTGTCTGTGTTAAGAGACCGGCTGATGCTGTAGATCTTAGCTGCTGCTGAAAAAATACTGATATTTTGTCAGCCAATGGCCGATACTAATGATTGCGGGGGCGGAGGGCCGAGAATTCACGTCGAGATGACGTCTGCACACCCAGGCATTACGCTTTTTATCCGTCTTATAGACTTTTAGGTACAACACTGCAAATTTTATGTTCACAATATTATGTATAATTTTACTACCTAGGCATGTTGTTTTGAAATTAGAGCCGACCTAACAATTTTTCATAAAAAGTAATGTTTAGGAGACACTTATTGACTTATCTCGGATATTTAAATTTTAAAGCAAGTTATGATTATTTTAAATTATTAACAAAAAATGTACGGTTTTAAAATGCTCGTAAATTGTTTCGTGATTAAAATATCAATTAAACACACCCAGATGCCTTGAATGATAGTCTTACCTATTTAAATTGTATAAACGTAAATTCATTATTATTTTTAATTTTTATACATAACAGAGTAAAATAGATTATTGTGAACTTACAATTTGCCGTGTCGTACGTTTGTAAGACGGAGACAACACATGCAGGTGTTGGCCCCGGCTTTGTTTTCTACCAATTATATCTACAAATGTGTCATAAGTCAATCGTACCAACTATCATAGCAATCGGATACAACTTATGAAAACATAATATTTCGATTCCCAATGAAGTTTACTTAAAAACGACTTTTCCACTTTTTTAACACCCTTAATTATTAGATTTATTGAAATATTAAGAACTTTAAAATGTTATTAATATTGAGATAAAAAAAATTAATTAAAAATATGAGAAGTTTATTTGAAGTTTATGATGAATATGTTCTGAAATATTATGTTTTCAGAAATATTATCGAATAAATAGATTGGTTAAAATGATGCATATGTAGTTAGCAAAATAATTTTAAGAGGTATCAATACCGACCTTAGGAGTTACCTTAAGAGAGACCTTAAGGAGTTCAAAGTAGGCAATTTTCTTTATGTGTTTGTCTGCGGCCCGTGTAAATGTATGAGTATTAAGCAATCACTAATGGTTATAGTGTGAGTGACTGTACGTGTATGCCAAAATGAATAACTCAGCACTTTTACACAAGTAGTTTCGTATTTCCAATAATATAGTATGAACACATATTATACAAATTTAAGTGAACAAGTTTATTTAAGCCTGTATATGAGTCGATTTTCGATATTGTATTTTCATTTTCCAATAATTAGCTCAAAAACTAGTGATATTTTATTTTTTGAATTTTAATTATTAAATTTAGTAATTGAAACATCGAAAATTGACTTTTAAACAGGCACTTCTCTTCTACAAAATTGATAATATAGGTGTTTTACTCTTAAACCACTCAACAATTCAAATTATTGCAATTACAAAAAATAATTTTCATAGAATTTGTCCATACTATTGAATACCCCTAGAGGCAATAAATAAGCAAAATAATTAATAATTTGTAGAGCATTATTGACTGCACGCTCTGTTGTTTATTTTACAAGTTACAACACAATCACATACACTAATGATACGTACTATTACTACGTACAGTAACTTACGTACTATACAGTATACACACATTTACATGACTCGCATTGACTTGGAAAATTGCCTGTAATTTACTCCTCAAAAACGGTCATAATTAAATCAGAATTTGTATTTAATTCCGAAATGTCCAACTTAGCTAGTCGATCGTTTAAAATAAAATTTAAAATAAAATAAAATTTAAAAAAAAGAAAGATCTAAGTATTTTCATTTTTAAATCAAAGCAGATTAAATAACTTATATATTAATTATCGTTCTTACTTTAAAATACAATGAAAATATTTTTCTTCCTCTATATTATATTTTATTGCAACTTATAGGTATATAAATCGTTGTTGTGCATAGTATTTTATGCATTATTTATATATGTATTATGTATGAATCTATTTTGTTATTTTATATTGATTTGCAGGCCAGTGTTTGAACTTCAATTGTACTTTTGTGTTGGTTCTCATGTTAAGGCATTGTATTACGTTCCTCAGAACTCGTGGATTCTCATTGTTTTTGCCTTTGGACCAACATATATATTTTCATAAGATCACGGGGTTTTTCATATTTGGTTATAGTATCCTTCATACATTTATGCATCTACTAAATTTCAGTAAGTTATTCATTTTACACCGTTTATCAATTTTTCCATTGCCATTTGATTATAACTGTTCTCTTTCTATTTTTTATCACTATAGGTACCGTCATAATATATGATCCAAACTTGAACTACGAAGGATTCACAGTGTCCGAATGGCTATTTACCACCGACCCGGGACTCTTCGGACTCATATCTGGATTTGCCAATCCCACAGGTGTATTGCTAATCGTTATTCTGTTCGTGATGTTCATTTGTTCGCAGCCATTCGTTCGCCGAGGAGGATGCTTCGAGGTTAGTAATGAAAACCGGAGAACGGTTTATTTTCCTAGATTTACCTATTATATTTGCACATATCAATTTACTGTTGTTTTTCAGATATTTTATTGGACTCACTTACTGTACGTGCCTTTTTACTTACTCTTGATTCTTCACTGTCCAAACTTTTGGAAATGGTTGATCATTCCCGGATTATTATACTTGTGTGAACGTTTTTACCGTTTCTCATTGATGCGTTCCGAACACGGAAAAACGTACATCAGTTCTGGTCTACTTTTACCGTCTAAAGTCACGCATTTGGTAATTAAAAGACCACCACATTTTGATTTCCACCCCGGTGACTACGTTTTCGTGAATATACCGGCAATAGCCAAGTATGAATGGCATCCATTTACTATAAGTAGTGCTCCTGAACAAGAAGGTAAATGTTTGTATAAATATGTGATTTGCATGACTGCATTTTTAAAGTATCGAAGTAAACAATTATTTTTGTACAGACTATATGTGGTTACATATCCGTGGAGTTGGAGAATGGACAAATCGACTGTATTCATATTTCGAAGAAGAACAGCATAAGTTACATTTACTTAACGAAGAACTGCCTGGTTCCGTTAATAGCAAAACTTCATCTGTAGATACTATAGAATCTTCAAAAATCAAAAAACTACAAACGTATGTGTAACGCTGTTTCAAAATAACTAAGTCATACTCATAAAATAATCATGGTATTATGTGCAAAAATGTCATAGGTCTCTTCAGAGAACATTTTCCGGAAGAACTGTGGAGGATTCTGTCAAAGGAAAATATAAAAAAGGTGGAGATTTTAGTTATACAAATCAGAGTTTTAGCAGTTTGCCAGAAGACTTTCAAATTAGAGGTTCGGAAAACGATGGCACTTCTGGTAATTCAAAAACTCCAATGGGTAATATTAAATGCTTTAAGTTTCTAGATTAATGTAATTTATTAGTTAGTGTAAAATTAAAATAATACCAAATTATTGTAAATATTAATTCATAAATTATTAGAAGTGAGAAAATCAGTGAAAAAGGTACAAAACACCAATCTCCACAAACTTGTTTTGATCAACAAGGCCCCATTGTCAAAATCGTTGTCCATGCCTGATATGGAAAATCGTATTAAAAAGAGAGAACGTCTATTAGCGTATGTGATAAATATTTTGTATTTCGTCAATGTCATACATAATTGAAACTAAATTAAAACTTATGAGTGTACATTTTCAGTTTACGAACTTACATGCGATCTGAATCCGAGAAGAGTTTCGACGAATGTCAAATGAAGAGAGCAAGACTTCAATCTCTGGGTTTGGCATATTTAAGCCCCCAAAACAAGTCATTGGCTCAAAGTTTCCGTTACATGAGACACAAGCCGACCATCATAGCGTTCAAGACACCGAGCTTAGAAAATTGCGAAACCAAAGTCTCGTCGTATAGTATCACAATAGAAACGGTGAGCCTTACTATCAATGGGTGTATCACAACCGATTAACATAATATTATCGTTCTAAACGTTATTCGTACTGTTTCAGTCGTCCAACATGGGCAGCATGGAGTTTGTGACCAATGAAAACAAGTCGAAGGAAAGGTCTAAAGAAGACAACAGTAGTCAGTCGCCCATAAATTATCCTGTCGGCAAACCACTAGAGGTGAGTGTGATGTCGGGCGAACATATTTTGCTTTCACGGTACACCGAAAGACGTTTTTATTTCTATCTTTTTTTAATCGTTAGATCTATCTGGTCGGCCCGTACGGTGCACCGTCCAGTCACATATTCCGAGCCCAGCACGCCGTGATGATAGCCACGGGCATCGGTGTCACACCGTTCGCTTCCATATTACAATCAATCATGCACCGATACTGGAAAGCCCGGCACACGTGTCCGAAGTGTAAATACACGTGGGCGAGTGAAATACCACCCACGGTGATGCATCTCAGGAAGGTGAGGCGAAATAGATCTAGATTATTACGCATAATAATATGATATTATTGTTGTGTCAGCAGTAGGTGTAATATTATGATATTATTATTATTATGTTTTATCAGGTCGATTTCTTTTGGATTAATCGCGATCAACGATCGTTTGAGTGGTTTGTGAATTTACTGTCACAACTGGAAATTGAACAAGCTGAGCTAGGCGGGGCCATGGAGAGGTTCCTAGAGATGCACATGTATATAACGTCGGCCTTGCAAAAAACCGATATGAAAGCCGTCGGACTCCAATTAGCTTTGGATTTGTTGCACGAAAAGGTGAGAATCGCTGATAATAATATCGTTATAATCGATTCGTTCAATAATTATAATGATAGTATATAAATTATGATAAACGGCTATAGTCATGAAATAAATATGAAATACCGATTGATTTTTAGGAAAAACGAGATTTTATCACGGGTTTGAAGACCAGAACAAACGCAGGCCGGCCAAACTGGGATAAAGTGTTCAAGCAGTTATTAGACCAAAAGAAAGGAAAAATCACAGTGTTTTATTGCGGCCCGCCACAACTCGGTAGACTTTTGAGAGTTAAATGCGATCAATTTGGATTTGATTTTCGAAAGGAAGTTTTTTAGAATACTATGAACACCCGTAGTCCAAGATCGTGCTTTTATCTCTTTGTTATATTATTGATGCAACATACAAATTTGTACATGCATATTTTGTGCGTTTAAGACTTGAATGTTACCATTTTGTCAAAGAGAAGACTGTAAAATATGTTACCAATTTACCATATCGCAATCAAGTATTTTATAAAATAACAACGATACCATTAATTTTTTTTTGATAATTTATTATTAGTATTTTAATAAAATTAAGAATTTTTCTGTCTGAATTTTATAAAGTATATATTATATTATATTATATATTTATATTAATTGTAATAACGAATGAAATTATTTGTGTATTATTATTATTATTGTTTAAATTCTAAGTGTAAATATATTTTCAATCATTTTAAACATGAATATTATAATCTACAATATTATGCACTCATATGGGTAAATTATTTTTAACACGATTTAATACAGGCTCGTAATTTAATAAATATTCAAAATTTAAGATTGTCACTCAAAATGTGTCGGTAAAAAATTAAAAAACATAGTTTTAGATTTTTTTTAAATTCCATTTTATCGATTTTTTACCTTAGAAAAAAAACATACTCGTACACGGACACAAGATTTAATACACAATATGATATTATGTATACTTAACATTATATTTGTTTAGTCGAACAACGGGCCGCCGAGCACAATAAACATAATATACAATCATAAAATATCGTACGACGCATTCGGCTGTGTATTGTGCTGTGTACGTGACTTACGCATATTTTGTATTGTGGAAGAAAATAAAGTCGTAGGAACCTATGTACACCTATAAACTTTGAGACTCGATGGAAAATGAACAGACTTATTGTCGTGGGACATTTGACATTGCCATTGATTCAAAATACTTTTCATTTATAAAGATATATATGATAGAAGCCTACTTATATTCATCCACAGACAGTTGCAGAAGTTTACTACTTACCTAGTTAATTTAAACATTATCAAAGATAATGGTAAATGTAGCCCGATAGGTACAATTAAAATACCTGTTGCATACATTTAAATTAGAACAATATGTAATATGTGGTAGAGTATAGAGCTTTTTATTCATACGATATACACCTGAGATGAGTTAATGAGTAGGTACGGGAGAAAAGCTAATCTCTTAGAACAAATATTATCTCGACATATATTATTATCACTTTAATAAAGTCAATAGTCGTCGAATTCATCATATCCTTTAAAATTAATAGATAAATTATAAAGCTAATCAATGTATAAGATTAATTATGATATTATCTTCATGTAAACTTATGGCATGTAAATATAACTCTTGTAAACTACAATGGCTTTCACGGTCAATAATAAAGAACATTTATAACGTAAAAAAACGGCCTTTATGATCATATGTCGGACACTCATATCGTAAATGTGGCATTATGACTTCTATTAGGTATCTACTAACCATACAAATTTTAATATTTTAAATTATAGCAAATACAACTACCATAAATGATGACTCAAGACTCAAGAAAGCCACTCAAACATATTAATCGGATAAAGATACCTACTATAATATACACTTTTAAACTTAAATGACGTACCGAAGGTCATTCGAATTTATAATAATATATTTACATTGTTATGTCTCGAGGAAAGCTTTACGGAACTAAAAGTTATAAGTGAAACAATAAACTTACTGTCCTCCGTATACAGAATTGCATTACAAAATACTAAAATACAAACTCAAAAAAAAATCGTCCGAAATAAATAGTTCATAATCAGATGTTTATAATATTTCACTTTAATTCTAAATATGATTTTATATAATTTCTTGCGAATGACGCACAATTCAAATTATTTTCAGTAACTTTAACCACCTGTAGCGGCCATTATTTATTTAATACCTTTGAAGTTATTTCATATGCAAACAACGATTTTAAACCCAGGTTTCCTCAAACCTATCGCCTAAAGTTTATGCTTTAAATCCATTTGCAATTACGTTTGTTATGTTTGTAATTAATATTACATTGTTAACTAATGTTTTAAATAATTGTTGGTTTTTGAATAACCATCTAAGGCTGTAAAATATTAAAAATATTATCATTACCATTGTCTATAGGTATTTTTACCTAACCAACGCATATTATTTTCTCGGACGTTTGTCAACAAGTTTAAAATTTAAAGATATAAAAAAAAAGAATACATCGAATACATTTTAGTAGATTTGATTTATTTTTCAACCCAATATTTTTATAAAATAATAATGATTTTAGTTTATAACTATATTAACTATGACGTAATATGTTTAATTTGCTTACAGTGATTAAAATTAATAACAATACTGAAGACTATAATCTAATTGATATGGAGTGAAAAAAAAAAATTCAAAATAATATATTGGTATTATACATTTATTACATCCAACGCGATTTAACAATATATATAATATTATTACGATTTTTATTATTTTTTGTTACACTTAAGTTTTCAGTTAAAAAAAATTCAACTTGTTGAATCGCCAATTAAATCATAATATGGCAACGTCGCACTTAAATTTTAAATCTGATTCCAATCGCATTCGAGTTTTTGCTAAGTGGTGTGTTAATAGTGAATTTTAAGCTAAATCGATTATATGTATTTTGCAATTTATTGTAGAAAAAAATAGTGTGGCCAAATGATATTGGTTTAATGAGAAGTGGCTCTGGGAGAGGGGGTTGTGAGGCCTGTTCGAGTATTTTGAGGTGCTTTGAAGGGGAGGGGCAATATAAAGAAGTCTACAAATAGTCAATAGATGGTCTAGGCGGCGTCTATAGCTGTAGCGAGTCAGATTTTTCTGCACCTATTTCTGCAATAGACTTGTCACTGTAATAGACAGCTTACATCTTTATGTTTTAGGAGCGACTTTGTTTTCTTTCAGACATTATCCGAAGACAGTTATTTTAGTCAATGATATTATTATAATTGTATATAGAATGTAAAACTGATTATATACCTGGGTATAACATTTATTAAAAAGACACACAATGTGAACTGTAAATAAAACGAGAGTAAAAAAACTCGAGCATACAATATAAACTATTATTATTACGAATCATATATATTTTCGTTTTCTCGACCAAAAAAAGGTTTTATTTTTACTGTGGTTCGGTATGAATTTATTTTATGAAAATTAATATTATCCAGTTTGTTTGAAGTATTACAACTATGATTTATTAACTAAATGGTTTAATAACATTTATTCAACAGTAATTTATTTAAATGAAACATGTAGGTAAATGTATAGTGTCATTTACACAATATTTTAATGATATAATTAATAAAATATTATTATTTATATTAAAACTAAGATATTATTATAATATTATGTATATGATACCTGTAGAAGGTTTAAATAACCGTAATGTGATAAACTACAAAAATTAACAAGTTTGAGTTGGTGTATAACGTCAACGAACGAGAGAAAATTCCAAAGGTTCTAGTCTGGTATCGCTGCATCCGAAGGTCCTGCCTGTGAATCAGCAGGTGGCGTTTCCCCCTCTGGTGGTTTCATTATTTCCACAGGTATCTCAACCTTCTTTTCAGCCATAGCTCTTGCCAAATCGTTTTCCTCTTTAACAGCACGTTCTCTATTCTCAATGATTTCTTCGACTTCAGATCTGTACTTGGGCAGCGGCGTCCTTATGAATTCTCCTGTTTCGGTGACTGGTTGTAAATCCGGTGTTTTCAACCAGACCTTCCACGCGTCCATGTGCATGCTTCTAAGCAAGTCCATCTCGTCAAACAAATTCAATATGTTGTTCTCGTTTTCCATGAGCGTCGCCACGTAAGTGTTGACATCCAAGTCTGCTACGATATTTTCCTCGGTAATCTTGTCCCCGCAACTGTCTAATTGTTTCAGCTGAAGGCTGCCGCAGTACTCTTTCATCTCGTTGACCACGCAAGACGACTTGATGACGTCGGTCAGAAACGCCAGCTCTTTTTTGAGTTTCTCGATGTTAGCCTCGCACTCGGCGTCCTCCTCTATATTCGGCGACGAAAACATGTCGTGCAACGTGTCGTACACGTCCAACAGCTCGTCATATTTTTTGTAGACGGAGGCCAACATGTCAATGTAGAAGGGAATGGTGTACGTGAATACGCGTGACCGCGCCTGAAATTTCACCCGATTGTCTTTGTTTTGAATCAGCCCAACAATCAGGGACAGGTGGAAGGCCACGCGCTTGTGCGTCAGGCACGTGAGTGACTTCCCGATGATGGTCGCGCTCAGATTCTGGTTGTCGCCCGAATAGTACTGGTGTGGTGTGCTAAGTGCGAAAAGTGACTTCAACGGGTCTACGTTTCTGAGGTCCTCCAACGTTTCTTCGACCCACGGTGGCAAATTGTCGGATTGATCCAGTATCACTTTCTCCGACAACACGTCATCGTACACCTTGTCCTCGAATAAGATCATGTCGATCATTTGTCGCAGCTGTGACCGGGTCGGTTCGCCGATTGCACACCTGCTGGTGATAAGTACGGCCAGCGCCAGTGGCAACCAGATGACGGGCAAACGGCGCATTGTCGTCGTCGGTGATTAGGGTACGTTGAGATTCACACGAACGGGGACGTCACGGTAACACGTCCTAACAGCTAACTACTCCACCGCCAACAATTATTTTTTTATCTGTCGGCGTTGCGTGTTCGGCTCGAACGTGTTTTCCAAAACCTGTGCATACACGTGCCTGTGTACTATGTAAGTGCGTGTGGTCGTGTCGCACAAAGGGGAAAATTGGTTTCTCGTAAAAAATGTGTTGTTCCTACATATTATAGTAAACAAATGAAACAACAGCGTTAACGTGCAGCGCACAACCGCATATTATTTTTTTTTCATCAGTATTTTGCAAAGAACAACATTTTAAGACTATTGTTTGGCAATTTTGCATATAATATATAGCCCCCCCCCCTTCTATTCCATGCGCACTGTCTGGTGACGGGCCGCCGAACAAATACGAAAAAACTGCGACAATGTTCTACTCCAATATTTTTCCTTCTGTTTTTTTTTTATTTTATCAAGAAATAATGGAAGGCCTTCTTTATAGCTTTATCAGCTCGAGTTCAAATCGATGATATATGTATATGTGAAGTGAAATATATCTTTTGTGAAAAAGCATTATTTTTTTGGTAACTCAAATAATAATCCTTAGAATTGTTGTATCATGCATAGTATATATATAAACATAAACAGTATAAATATAAAATCTATCGACTAGGCTAAGTAAACATGACGTATGCAATGCATAACAACATTTAGTATTGAGTCTTAGTCGGCAAGTTGTAGCAGATGTAGCAAAATAAAAACTAGGTTATAAGTGATAATATAATATTATACAAGTGGTAGGATATTAGTAGGCAAATGCGGGTCCTTCAGGGGTGATCTCTTTATGCGGTCACTGTGACGCTGTTGGACAAACCAGTAATAAAGTGTTATATTATAACTGTTGTTTGTGTTTAATAGTGTCGGAATCCAACGGCGTATACGAAAAAATGGCAACTAGAGTTACTCTACGACTTTTGTGTGTGTACACTGATTTAAGTTTTTTTTTTCGTGATCACCTATTATATGCGTGTTTTAGTACCTTTAGCAGTGCTTGTCAAACTTTTTTGTCATGGGGCCCCCTAAATTTAGTGTAAAACTGTCAAGGCTTGTTAATTATAATAAAAATAATTAGTTATATTTTCTTGAACTAAAATTACATATTGTACTATTTCAAACAGATAAATTATTGAAAGTGATATTACTGGTTATTTAATAACTAATTAACCTACCACAATTCATTTTAAGTCGAAAATAATGAGTTTAAAAAAAAAAAAAAAAAACTTAAAGAAAATAGTTTAAATAAAATAAATATTTCATGACTTCCCAATATAATGTAGCCACGACCCTCTAGATTGGAATTCCAGTACGATTCCAACTAACCACAGTCTCCATGACTAAATAGCCACCATTACTTTTTATAACACCATATATTATGTATAAGGGCGTCCGTCAAAATAGCAGGTGGTTATAGGGATTGCGAAGACACTTCAGAGGCTTGTCGTAATACCACTCACTGTCTCAAAATAGTAACTTACAATTTTACAAAATAATTGTCATTTTGTTTGATAGTATTAAATTCACGAAAACACCTTTATATTACAACTGAAACTTATAGATATAATATATATTATATTATATTATATCAAACTGTTGGGACGCAACATAATATTAAACCAAAATAATAGTTACGCAACAGAAATAATGTTTTGCAAATTACAAAATATTAATATTTTCAGAAAGTAATACGACGGATCGGAATCCATTATCTCGGCGGCCGATTCCCACACTGTCCTACAACAAACAGGTGTAAAATTCATAAATTAAATGCAGAATTTCTGACCGTCGTATAATGTTTTTTTAAAACTTATGATAAGCTACTATCAGCTGTGTCTAAGGCCTTGGATATATTAATGGTTACTCAGAAAGGTGGTTGGACAGCATCCAATGGACATTCCCAATTCGCTCCTCTCCTTCTCGTGCGTTGTACATCCAGTGGAGATGTATCTAGCCGTGAGTGATGTGCCGCACCAGATACACAGTATGGTGGCCAAATGTGAGGATCTTCCCTTCTCGTTGTGTCTCATGTTTTTCGGGGTAGGATCAAGCAAAATCATTTTTGATACTCACAAAAATTGCTGATTATTCATTGAATAATTGAGCATTGAACGATGCAAAACAATAAAGTTTGAATAGTAATAAAAAAAAACCTTATTACATATTAATATATAATATAGATCACCTGCTAACCCTGAAAAAAATCTCTGGTGTTGTACAATTATTAGACAAATTACAAACTATCAGAAATTAATCATCCAACATTTTGAATACTTAACAGTTTGAGTTATTATGGTCATTTTGCGTGTGACCCCCCTCCCCTTCAGACCAATATGATGGTAATGGGAGACGGGCGAACAAATAGGAAATAGCCACGTCCATGTTTTGTGAATTTGCGCATAGGTTTTGTGTCTGTTAAATTTTTTTTTTTATTTCATCGGAAAATAATGGCATTTACATACTTGGTGACGTCTTTATAGACATAATATTGACTTGAGTTCGAAAGTGTGGTGTGTAGGTAAATAGAAATAGTGTTTATGGTAACTAAAAAAAAAATAATCTTTAGAATATTAGGTTTGGTATCGACGAATACGAATAGGATAATATTCAACACGCCAAGGCATACTTTTATCAACAAGTATAATATATCTGTACCTGAGAGGCTAAAGGGTCTAAGTCCATTATTGTAACTTTTCAGGAGAGCCAAAAAACCGTTTTTCAACTATTTTTTTTTTACTTAAATGGCTGGTGTAAATTCGGTTTAATGATTATACCAACAAAGTTTGTTTTAAATAATAAGCTGTAATATTCTCAATAAGATGAATATTTTTTCTTTTAATTATAACCTACCTATAATTGTTTATTTTACGAATTAAATGAAATGTTTTGGACTTAGATCATTTTGCTCAATCACACAGTGGACTTGGGCTCTATTAATCTCCATGCTAAGCATGGACTTGGATCATTTTGCTCAATCACACAGTGGACTTGGACTCTATTAATCTCCATGCTTAGCATGGACTTGGATCATAATTCATAAATCAAAATAAATATTTAGACTTAGTTCTTTTTGTAATTTCCCAATATCTCGGTAAATATTCGTTATTGGACTAAAATGAAGATAGGTAAAATGACGGGCGTCAAAATTTCACATAAGAAAAAACCATAACCTCAATTTTGATAAAAGTGGACTTGGACCCTTTAGCCTCTCAGGTACATAATATATTATATTATTGGTTAATGGTGTATATTAACAAAAATAAAAATCTAGTTTAAAATTATTATTAATTTCTTTTATTAACAGCTATTATGCATATTATAATAAAGGGTGCGAAACAAAAAATACTTAACTAAATAATAACTCAAAATAAATTGTTAGAATATGATTGCAAGTTGTATGCGGTCTTCCGTGCAGGTTTTGAATTGGACGATTGTCAGCATTATCGATAAAAATGTATAGAGGGCCCATCGGGGGAGATTATTACACGAATGCATTATTTTATACTAATAATTCATAGGAATAAATTATTTTAATCACAATATGAATAATTCGTATTTATTTTTATTTATAATAATATATTATATTATCTACAATAGACCTTAGGTACGTCGTTATTATTCATGCTTCCGTTGGCAAAGACGGTTCACTCGGTTCTATAAATTCTGGTTTGTTGAGAAAATGTTCCCAGACCTTCATGTTCATGGTGCTGATCGGTATTTCCTTAAACATTTCCTTCAATAAAGCCTGGCATTTCATGAAGATTTTCATCGTATCGACCGCCGATTCCCAGATCTCGGCGCCATCGACTTGTATGTGTTTCTTTATCTGTTCGAACTGGCACAGCTCGCACGACTTGTCCAGCGTCTTCTCGACCAGATTCTGAAAAACTTCGAAGTCCGGCGGCAGATCCTTGGCCTTGACCTGGGTGGCGACCACTTCCCACCTCTGGTATAGCTCGAACTCCTCGTCGATAGACTCCCTGAGCACGGCCACCTTGTCCAGAACGTGGACCAGTGTGTTCCAGACCTCGGACGGCTGCGAGGTGATGGCATCGTTCTGCAGCTCTTGGGTCTTCTTTATGGCGTACAACTGCACCAGAATGTACGTCAGAGTCTTGCACTTGATGGCCTTCGCCATCGAATCCAACGCAAAATCCAGCGCCATACCATGTGTGTTGTAGTGGGTTGCCACTTCGATGACGATGTGCAGGGCTCGGGCCACCAACACGCCTTGCTGCTGTTCATCGACCGGTTCCTGATACGGTGTCTGTTCCATACCGGGTGTCTGTTCCGCACCCGGTGTCTGTTCCTCACCGTGTTCGTGTACCGGTATGGCCGTGACCGCCTGCGTGGTTTTCAGCACGTTCAGGTCCACGAGCACTCTCCGGCCGGCGGCGGACAGATTTTTCGGATCAAACTTGATGCCCACGTCCAGGTGCTTCGCCCAGATGTGGTCGTTCGCCGACACGTCGAGCACGAAATTCCGGCTGGCATCCGAGAACGGCTGGATGGGCGCCGTCTTGGGCACCATCGACGCGATCACGTACAACGTGACCACGTTTAACGCGAACTTCATAATACTTAACGTCGGTTCACTCTGTTCACGCGGTTCGCAGAGCGTGCGTGTTCCGTTCCACTCCTTCGCTTCGGAATTAAGCGATGGTCGGCTGTGAGACGCGCTCGCAAACCGTGAGTTATAGACCTACGTGTTTGTGTGCCGCGAGTGTTGTACACAAGTGTTTACACACGTGTGTCTCGCGGTGCTGTGGTTTTTTTTAAATTTTTTTATCGACGTCCTCGCGCCTAAACAAGTCGAAAAGTCGCATAGTTTAAGGCAAACTATTACGTTATTAATGGCGCATTACGCTTTCAGCTCATTATTGACCGTATCATCGATATTTCTAAAGATTTTTTATACAAGCAGAGTTTATTTTTTATATATTATCATATTTTTACTCCCCAATTATACATTTAAGTTACAATAGGTAACAATTACTACATTTATACATAAGTATTTATTTATACGCATTTATTACTACGATATTATAATTTTATACCACGATTAAAGATCCGCTGGGTTTCATATAACAGACGTCCAAGCTTTTATCGAGCCCCCTTTCAACCATCAAACTGCGATCCTTCAAACCTAAGACATTACGATTACAATTGTTTATTACTAATTTTTTACGGTTGTGTCGGGGACTAAAAGTTCATTACAATCTCAAAAAATTCACACATTTTGGAACACAGGACTTTTGAATAGACGACGGTCGAATATGCGACCGTACCCAGCTCGAATGCCTACACAACTGTCATGTAAGCCCTTACAATAAATGGCTATATTACGGCCTCAGTACGCCACTAAAAATAAACAAGGGTCACTTTTTCACAGTTGTACACTTGCACGGATTTAAACACGAGGTAAACTCAAATTTAGCTTCGTAACCAAATCCAATTAAATCAGATGATCACATTATTATATTATACATTATTCAATTTGCATGGGCGGAATATCTCAAATAAACTTCTAGTTTTGTCAGTTTTTATATTAACTAATAATTAATAACTATAGAGCTAGGACCGACTACGAGTTTGGATGTTTTCAATTATCATTAAATACATAGCTAAGTAATATAGACATTTGTTTCAGAGCAATACGAGTTTATATTTAAAATTTTTAGTTGCTTGTTTTGCATATTTAACCATTTTTCATTTATAAGTGTATATTTGAAATTTTTATATAAAGGTGTTAGTTTTATGATTTTATGAACAAAATTAAATTTTAAATAGATTTCCTGGACCTAAGATATTATGTATGCAGGTTTATTTATATAAGAAATATATATAAAATATATTAACGTTAATGACTTAGTGTTATAATATTAATTAGTGTTTGTTTTCATTGCCGATCACTTGCATTGTTACTTATTGGTACACCACAGGCGTAATTCCCTAAAACTCAATGTTAGAAGAAAACAAATCAGAAAAGAAAATTAATTATTTGTTAATAAGCAAGTTTTTCAATTGTAAGCTACAATTTATAATATTGCAAACAATATCTAGATATTAAATTAAAAAGGTGTTATCCAATTCTATGATTTTTTTCAAATTCATATTTAAAATTTAAATAGCATTGTTTAGTAATTCCTTAGGTTGTAAATGCATGCATATTTTAAGGTTTTTTAGAGCATGAAGTTCCTAGCACTATAATAACAAATTTAAAGGTGTCAAGTGACAAAATTATCTGTGTTTTGTCAGAGGTGTAACTTGTAAGCGATACAGGAGTTTCAAATAACTATAGCTTGTAAATAAATAAAAATACATATTTTATTCAATTTTGACTTTTGAAATTTTTGAGAATACTTATTCTTTCATTCGTATTTTTATGCAATTTAATAGGCAACAATTCTGAGTACATTAAACCTATCTTGGAAAATAAAAATATATTTTTAGCCTTACGCCAATAAGTTCTCACAAACTTGTAAATAATAGTTTGTACAATGTTAAAATGAATACACTATAATAATATGCAAGCAGATACGTTATATTGTGTACCATACTTACCACTACCTATACACAATCAAATAAATAATTTCGTATTTTAGTATTTACTTTCGAAGTGCACTTTAACCGATCCAAGTGAACCTATATCACAGAAAATTAAATGACCAAAATCAGCAATTATTGACAAATCAATAAGTAACAAATTGTACGCACCGTAGTAAACCCAAAGCTGTAATATAATAAATTATACATGTATTATAATGTATGATAGTTATTGTAGGTATAATATATTCAATGTATAATAATAGCCTGAATAACAGGAAACGCGTAGATCAAAGGTGAAAACAAAAAGTTGTTTTGCCTATTTACACATTAATGCAATTCAACAATATTCGAGAAGTAAAATCAGAATATAGAAATCATACCACCTTACATCATTAGACCTTCGACGAGTGCTGACTATCTTCTAAGTAATAGTATAGGTTCTCCACCAGTATTTATGCCTAAGAGACGCACCAGATAAGCTTACGACAGTGCCTACAGTTATTTTGTATTTGAACTTGTAATAATAATGTTATATTATATTAATTAAAAGTCTTAAAAAGTGTTTATAATTACTTAGCCATGTTTCTCAACAACATATCAAGCCAACAACGAACGTGCGACGTCGTAAAATAATTATTGTAATAGTGTTCAACACGTACTTCTCGGAGATCACTACACAAATTTGGTGTCAGGTGTGGGGAATGATATGAAATTGATTTTTTCAATTTAAGTAATTCGAGACCCACCGACGAATTACGTTCAACGTTATCAAGAGTTTTTCAATTTGGTTTTGAAAATCAATCCAGCCGAAAACAGTCAGTCAAGGGACAACGTCCACAAAACACGACAAGCCAGCAGAGCTTGTTCGCAAAGTGCAGTCCAAGGAAAAGGTAATTTCAAAGCAGAGCCAAGAGTTCAAGGACGCGCTTTTCACCTCCAACAAGATGAACCGAATGTAAGATATTAATATTATTAAAATATAGGTACGTTGTCAAATATGTTGTGAGTTAAGGTTGGTATACTGTATATGTATGTACACAAGGAGTAAAGGATTAGGTGAAAACGATCCAGCTTTACAGGAACCTGAATCAGATTCAGTTTTGACAAATACGATCCATTCTGAGAGCTCCGAGAGAAAAGTAAATAAGCGATACGAGTGTGCTAATAAATTTAGATTAAAACTATAATCGGGAGTTTATTAGAAACATCAAACACCATGGTAAATCAGTTAGATTTTATTACCTCCTTGAGGTTCCTTCTCGAATTCTCTGGGGGACTCGGCACTGATCTAGCATCGTTTATTTCGCAATGAGAATTAATTTTTTCCAAAATACCTGATACGATGACACCTGATATTTTAGGTGCCGTACTCGCCAACCTGAAGGGCAAAGCTTTTCAGATATCAGGATATTAGTAGTTGGGAAGAATTAAAAGCAAATTTGGGAATAATATTTAGTACGTCCCATTCATTACAATACTTATGTGGGCCACTGAATACTTACAATAAGAGGGCAGGCATCTTACGTACATCGTTTCTAAAAAATAATAAAGCTCTCACGGATTGGGATAAAGGAGTACTAATTAATAATAACTATACCCGAACCGGTAGAGAACAAAGTCGAACCAAATATAATATCCTCTCGCAGTAATTGCATATTACAGGTAGAAGCCGACGAATTAATCGATGCTATAGTTTGGTAGCTATAAAAAAAAACATTCGATAAAAGACGATGTAATTATTGCGAACAGTCTAAGTCCGGTGTGAGACAATACAACAATCATAAGTAACATAATTAACACATCGTAGCAACCGTTTATTATTGACGAATTATCTACGGATAATTTAAAATGAAGTTAAATGAGTACCTATTGCCATAGAGTAAAATCATTCATTACAATGATATTACAGGGAATAGGTTTTGGAGGAGGGTATGAGTGTATGACATAATATAATTAACTTGCCCAAATATTGTAGTCTCAAAACAATTTAAAATTAATTTAAATGTATTTTTTTTTTTTTAAAGTCTTCTACAAAGTCAAATAATAATAAAATATAAAACCGATATATTATTATACTTAGGTATATGTTACGTTACTAATGTATACGTTTTTTGAACGAACGATTGGTAAAAGAAATATATTATTTAATACGATAGAGATTTCCGTTATGGGTAGGTATAATTCTATGATCACTATTAACTTCTAAAGAGGGTATGCTCAACTAAAGTATGCTCGCTATGAACTATGCTAAAATATAGATGGCTGTGACGTGACCACTGTTGTCTGGGCTTCACAATTATATAATTGTATAACGTCTGCGAATGCAAAAAAAACAATATTTGTGCTAAAAGAAATACATTTAGTGGGATAGTGGGTTTAGTGGTTTCCATGATGGGTATTTCCAAGAGGGTCGTAGTTAGATCAATATATTTTAAAATTAATTTTACTAGGTACGCTCTCTACGATAATATGCACGACGACACGTTGTTAGTTTTTCCAACATGGATGGCGGAGACGTTTGTTCGGCCGACGCCCAGGAAAAAACATCAGACTTTTACGAAACCCATAACTTACCCGCTCGTTTCGAATGCCCAGGTAGGTAATTAATGTCATACACTCCATATACGTGGTATCAGGTTCGTATATAATATGAATAATATTACGACTAGGGTCAGGGTTTATGTGCACTGTCATAATTTTTTTTTGCAACATTCAAATACTGCTTTTGTTTGTAACGTCCACGAATCGTGTTAATATTATGTTGAAGCAAATGGTGGTTATTTTATTTTGTATATTTTTGTACATTTTGAAAGAGATACATATTATTATTTCACATTTCAATAATAAACACACAGAACGTACGTGTTATGGTATATATTTTAGTACAAGTGGTCGATAAGAGAAGAAATATTAAAATATGATCTACCCAAAAAATATCCAACTATAGGTAATTAATTTACTTTACTATGACGTATTGTACCTACTTAATTTAATTTATATCTAATCTTAATAATGCCGTATATTAATATGTACTCAAAGGAGGGCTATATTTTGGCGGAAAATATTTTGTCGGAACTGTATTTTGTCTGAAAGTGGTTTGTCGGAACCGTATTTTATCGGAACTGTATTTTGTTGGAAAAATAATGCATCGGAAAGTATTTTGTCAGAACCGTAGGTATTTTGTCGGAAAAATAATTCATCTGAAAATATTTTTTCGGAACCGTACGTTGTTGGAAAAATATTTCATCATTATAAATTATAAGTTATTTTTAGGTAGAGTAAGCTATGCTCAGTCAGAGCTATATACCGCGTATTTAATTGTGTTTTCCTAGTTCCGACGTGTATTGTACCGATACGGGTCAACTGTGTCAACCAACTGCAATGGGTCTTGAATTTTTAATTAGATTTGATATTTCAAGTAATCGAACCTATGTATATTTTTATATAATTATTATTTATCAGTAATGACAAATTAACTAATAACTAATAATCAATAACATTATATATTTTGTAATATCGTTTACCCGGAATTCTGCACATTTGAAATGCTGTTGTGTTGTAGATGTTTGAATAAATAATATTATAAATTAATTTTATAAATAGTATATTGATCTTTGTTGTATCGTTAATGTTATAAATATTATATTAATAAATAATTCATATCACCACCTGTGTATAAATTATATTATCATTATGACATGATCATAACGTAATAGTATACATGAATACATGATATTAGATGTACTTTACACATAGATAATATAAGAATGGATAGGACATAAGAACTTATCACATGAAAATTTAGTGATACTATTTTTAAGGTTATAAAAGGCAAATATTGATATGATAATTGATAAATAATAATAAATAAAATTTATATAATTTCATTTTGTTAAAATTATATTTTCCAATTTCCATTTTCCAGGCACAGGTGGCACAACAATCAAAATACAAACTGACAAATATCTAAATATAACTGACTATCATGTTATTATTATTATTATTTAATAAAATAGTTTTGCACATAACCTTAAAAAGCCTCATATCGTCTTTCTCTCTTTACGTTCTCTCTTCCCCAAAAAAGCACACGGCCTCATATGGAACTGGTATAGGCATGTCCTATCCATTCTTATATTATCTATGACTTTACATAATACCTAATAATATTGTATATCTACTAAAAAAAATGTCAATACATACTAAAACTGTTGTAAAGGTTCATAATAATTAAAGTTTACTACGACGAGTTGTTTAAAATGGTTTTTTCTTGATATTTATACCTAATTTTAAAAATGTTTTTTTCAGTTATACCTTAGTTATTGATTAATAATTGCTAACATCAATTTAAACATATAGGTAGCCGATGTTCATATAATATTGAAATCTTAAGTAGTATCTAAGCTGTACTCTCAAAAGTTAGACTTTATAGTAGTAGGTATAAAAAAAAATATATCTTTTTTTATCTAGATAAATTTTCATCATATTATCTTCATCTTAATCTAGATAAAAAAGTACTTATTTAATCCCAACACTGGTCGGATATCGACGAGCATATCGATAATCCGTGTATAATAATATATATAGTCAATAAGTCAGTGTAAGTAGCTCTATCCTTATAAATAGACTAATCTACATAATATACGATATACCCTCATCATACTCGTCTTTAAACTTAACACTTTTTTACATACAAAAAACACCTGCAGACGAGCACTGGAATGTCGTTCGCAATTCACTCCATGTGGATTGGCCATTCACCGATGGTGATTAATAAATAATAACTATATAGACATCCATAAACAGCTTTGGACTTTTTAACATATTGACAATTCAAACTAATAATAATATGTAAGTAAAACTCTCTAACTCGGCTTCCAACTTAAAGCACTAATTGACTTGCAAAAACAAAAACAGCATACAATAGGCGTACCAGCCCACTCGAGTTCAATTCACACCTATGATGACTGATAACTATAGACATACTCAAACTCACCTTCCATCAACTTTTCTACATTAAAAAAAAAAAAATCATCAGACGACCAAAACGTACTGTCATAATATATTATTATAATAACAATATCGCATATTGTATTATTTTGTGGAGAGGACACTGTATTATGTCAAATAATGATTTAGTTCCTTTGTACTGCAGGTTTACAGAACTACGGCAAAACCAGACGAACTCCAACCAATCCGTTCTACGCTACTACCTACAACGATTACGGGTACTTTCCGCCCACTGTGCACACGGTGAGGAAATGTTATCACGGCAAGCCGCAGAGATTCGGACAGGAGCAGTTTGTCAGAGGAATGTACAGAGACAACTCGTTGAACATGTGAACGACGTCTGCAACGTATCAATGATAATGCGTAATAATATATGACAGGGGTGGCCAAACCTCCGCTCACCTCGTATCATCATAGATCAGGAGTGCCCAACATTTTTTCAACTTGCGGGGACACATTCGAAATTCATATTCCTACCGAGGGCCAAATATGCTTGGCGGGTTTTTCGTTTATTGAATATTTCCACGCTAGTCGCTATACTCGCTAGTTAACAATTTGTTCTCGTCATAAGAAAATAGAAACTAAAAAATTTATTGTAAGATATTTTAAAATATTCTTAAAAGCTTATTAAAATAACATTTTTTTTTTTTAATTATTATTATTTTTATTTTTATTTATACTACTTTCTACCTGTACGAATTAATAATTTTATAAAATTTTCACGGGCCGCTAGCCATGAGTTGGGCACGCGACTATAGCCGTGGTCGATAATCACTATATAGGTAGGAATCTATTTATTTTGCCTCAATCGAAATCATTAATCATCGCTGGTAAGACGCGGTTTATATGCCCATATTTTTATTATCTATGCTTCATAATAATATATTATATAATTAGATCAGGACATTTAGTACCTATATTTACCTGAAAAAAATGCCCTTAGTTTTGAAATATTGCACAAATATTCGTTTTGAGGTACTTATATTATACTAACATACTAAAACTCTTAATCACTAAAGTGTGTACCCTCTGCTCTACTCTCCTACATTAGAGATCAATTTCAATTCAAAATCAATTTTTTTCTCAAAAATACTAATTCAATAGAAATTGTACATCTAATCAGTTTTGTTAAAAACTTAATTTTTAAACAAAATTTTCTATTGAAATTTTCATTAAAACCAATATGATAAATTTGACAATGATATAAATGGTATTCAATATTATAAATATTCAAATAATATCCGAACCATTTTGGGAAATAATTAATTATAATGAACAGCACGGTTTTAGTTCTACACGTTCGTAGAACACGAATTTTAGGCCCATGAACTTGTGCACCTAAATCTCGTTAAAAACTTGAATGCACTTTGTGCAAGAAATGCAATAAAATATAATTCAAATATTAAATATAATCGGAATCGACTATTGACATTTGTATTTAACAAGCAATTAGTAAGGTACAAACAATACAAATTATTTTTAAAAATGGGTTTTTCCATCAAAGTGCAATTCCCAACCAGTGCCGGTGTTGTGTACGGATGTTACGTAGCGAATGAAAACTGCTCCCGTTTTGCTGGTGAAATCCGCCGGAATGTCCTGAACAAACCATCAAAACCGAAGAATTAAAAAATAAAAAATACATATTTTATCATATTAGGTCGAGTCCACTGGCAAGGATTTATATTGAGTAAAAATTTAATATAATTCACACTCCTAGAACGAGGCTGCAACAACTCAAAATTGATGAATTTTGAGTTATGACTACTCTCGAATAGAGAAAAAAAGCTCTATAAAATGCAAGAACTCCATATACAATATCATTTTTTATTTAGCCTAAAAGATGTATCATTATTGAATTATTTCATTTTTAGCTAATTTTAAAAGCTATTTTATGGCAGTAAATACCTATTTTTATTCATCCAATTAATCACTGAGCTTAAAAAAAATTCAAGACTGCATTATTTCGATTCTCGCACTAAATAAAAACTAATGATCGTGTGATATGTCGAGAGCAAAACAGAAATATTTAGAGTTGCGGAGGTATTGCATCTTATAATTTGTGATGTCGCAGGCGCATAATATGAAATTCAATACTGCCATATTTTATTATGTCTTTGTGGCTGTCTTCACTTTATGTATACAATAAAGGTACATCTCAAAATATGGCAGTCTTGCATTAACTTAAAAAAAAATTAAAAAGCCACAAGTATAGCATTTTTGAATTTAAGAGAGTATTATTTTATAATATTTAAAAAATTAATTTTGCAATGAAAAGTTTGCAAGTGTTTAAGTTGTTAGTTTCAAACTCTTTAAAATGTATCCACTAGGTTCAAACTTCAAATCGCTTTTTTTCATAGCCATTAATGTTGAGCTTTTACCGTCTTGGGCCAGGGGTGCTGCACAAAAACCCCATGGGCCGACGGATCGTGTGTGTGGAAACTTGGACGTATAACGTACATTTTTACCATTGGGGTCGCGACTTCATGACAATAACTGCTAATATACTCACTCCACCACAGTATTTAGAAACAAACGACGATTCTCCCGTTAACTGTTCAACGTTGTACATTTCCAAATAATCGGTGTTGCATGTACTTCGCGCACCAATGTTGAACTCTAAGTTTTGAAAATAAAATCCATGTTAACTTGTACACTGTACAACTTAATATTATAGTTTGAAACATTCAAAATAAGTATTTTATTTAAAAATTGGATACGCGATCGATCACAATATCGTTTTTCTTTACTTACCTATGTGACTATTTATGATAATTGTTTATCAACTATACACCCGACGTTTTTAAATATTTTTCTCACAATATCTACCGGTTGATTTATGTATACACTAAAAATATATCTATATCGAAAAGGTGGAATTTTGAAAATATTTTTTTTTGTTCATGGGTAATTTGAAGTCATTACAAAATTACATTGACACTGCTGATCAGTGGATATGTATTGATTACACAATTATGTGTGTGTTTTTATTTGTTTGAAGACGATTTTTTTAGTATAAAAAATTCTCTGTTCTTTGACATTGAGGGAGATTGATAAAAGAAAATAGTATAAAAATAAATGTTTTTTGTAATTTAAAAGAAAATCGGGAAATCAAAAAATAATAAATTATAAAATAACGGAAATAATTACGTAAAACGGTTTTAAAGAAAATCTATGTTGTTCTAGTTAGAAAACAAAATAAATCCTTGGTATTAAATTTAAAATAAAATGTCACCAATTATATAAATCATATTTGTTCAGACAGAATATTATTTAAAAAATAATAAGGTTGTATATTAAGTAACCAACTACAATAAATAAAATAATAATATTGTTGTATAAATGCATAACTTGTTAAAAAAAGTTAGTAATATTAAAGTGAATATTAATATAATAAAATATATTATAATAGATTATACATACTTTTAAACTGAACCCTGATTGCATTTGGTCTAGGAACTGCGATATCCCACCTGCAAGTTGAGCTCTTATTGTACACCATGGGATACATTGGACTCGTTATCGTACCATCCATATAAAACATTTTTCCGCCACAACCTCTACCTATATTTGTATCCGACATAAGTCAGTAAAACACACAATAATATTTAAGAACAGCAATTAATAATGCAGTTTTCGCACTCATCCTACCTTGATCCGTAGATATGTAACTCATATCCAGTAACCCAATCCAACCACCTGTTGTTTTATACGCTATCGTCAACGACGGACCCGTTGAAAATACGGGATGAGAAGTCATTTTATACATTCCGTTCAATGTGGTTACCTGCGGCGATGAGATGGAAGGCCCATCATACACCTAAAATAAAAATGTATATATAAAATATTTAGAACTGACAATTGTAATTAACACCTAATTTACTTTTAAGTAATTAGACGAAGATGATCGCACCTGTAGTCCCATAAAAACCAACCTTGTAATAAATAAAGAAATTGTTAAATTTGATTGACCTAAGTTTATCGTGAATATGCATTCATCTCCCTTCGATATTCGTTTATAAACTCCATGATGAATATACCCATAGCGTTTTGTATATGTTGTTGAGCATCCTATGATTGAATTGAATTGTTTATAATAATATTATGACTAGTAATAATATAATATCAGTCTTCCCGATAATCAATGTGTATTAAGTACAAATTGAATAATGTAAAATGCAAATATATGTACATACCTGTTGCCATGTACTCGAGTCTAAAGCCTTTTGGTGTTTTTTGGTCGACTACTGTACGTAGCGTCAATGTAAATATTTTCGATGGCTTACTCACAAAATCAAATACATGGTCTTCGTGGCATAAGCGGAGAATATTGTACGACCATTCCAAAAACTATATTATATAAAATCCATATTATATTCATTTTAAAATATTTTTATTTATGAGGACAGTATTTGTAAATACTTAAGACTTTAATATTATAATATAGCATAAGAATATAAACATTTTACATGTGATTTAGTTTTTAATAATTTTATTTACTATTTTATTTTAATTCTTTCAACATCATTCTCAAGTGGACGTTATTTATACTGACTTAAACAAAGCTTTTGACTCATTAATCACGATATTTTAGTTCAGGACGTTCAGGTTCTGAAAGTATCTGGCTTTGGCGGATTTTAAATCAAATCTTTACTTAGCATAATCTGGAGGACCTCAGGGGTTGCACTTGTCTCTTCAATATTATTACCAACAGCATAGGTTGGGCTATTCTTCATTTTCTTTGTTTATGTTTAGCTGATGACATCAAACTCTTTATGCAATTAAATTCTAATGATGACTGTATAAAACTCGAACCTTTAATTTTTCTCTTATGATCTGCGGGACTGCAATTTTACGTTGTAATGATTTTGTTATGGATCTTGGCTGTTAACTTACTAGTAATTGTGTGTTTATTTGCCTAATTTTAAAAGTTGCTTAGTCCGTAAACTTTATAATAAATTAACTAAATAATTGTAAGAAATACAAACAAAATTCATAATAATTATAAGTACATACCTAATCATTAGTTCATGACGATAATGCTAACATTAATTATTTTCTACTAAATATATTAAATGATGAAATATTCACCGGCGTGTATTTTATTTCCAAATAATTAGACGAGCAGTCTTTGGTGTCCGCCAAATTCATATCCGTGAATCGTAGCATAAGAGATTGGCCTTCATTTTCTAATTGTATATACCACGTACAAATTAAATCGTTCGTATTATATGGAAATGGATAATTAACAGACGTTAATAATTGTGATTGGTTGTTCACAATCAATGCACTTGGACCACAAATTGCTATTTAAGTAGAATTATTAATTTATTGAAATATTTTGTTTTATTTTTAAAATATTTGCTAATTTACATGTCACTGATGTTATCTTTATCTCAAAACGTGTATCTACATCCGACGCAATGCTTGAATATCTAATAAAAGCTTCACTACCAGATGATAATATTGAAGGATAGTCAACATTTCCGGGGCAGAATTGACGAATTTTCAAAGCTGAACGTCCAGGACCATCATAAATCTAAAAATAAGACCATTCTTTTATAATAACTCATAATCATAATCATATCTCTACTTCTAATGTTGAGATTGGGAATATAGGTTGAGCTTAAGTAGCGTAGGATATTGTGGACAAATGTGTCCTGATATTATGCCTTTTAAAAAGAGAGAACTTCAAAGTTTGAATTTTTGTTACTGACTGACTGACTGAGGTAGGTCTTATAACGCAAATAAAGGGAAAAATCTAGAGATTGTATTGTTACCTGAATAGAACTGCATACACAGTTTGTTGCGTTCGAAGAACATTTGGGTGTTTCTGTGTAAACTGCCACTTGAAATTGTACAACGTACGATGGCTTTACTAATATTATCCATCCACAATCCAAATCAGTTTTCAATAAAATGTTTGAATTATTCAACGTATAGCTGGACAAATTATTATTTGATTGATTTAACCTTATAGTACCTCCACAACCATGAGCTTCATCTGAAATCAATATACATAATATATTATGTATACTACAATAAATTTATAATGCAAATTATAAATCGTTGATTTCAAAAAAAAAAAAATGATTATTAGTAAAAACTCTTTAATGATCATATTATTATAGTGTACTTATAAGTTAAGTATAGTTTATAATTTTAAAACAATAAATACATGTTATAATAATACAATTGTAAGTATATTCTTTAGACATTAATTTACAATTTTTATTACTTATTCAATTTAGTACAAATAATAATATTGTATTTTAGGAGAAATGTTTCTATTTCAAAATAATAATTTAGTTCTACAGTTTCTGAACTATAGAATAGAGTTTTCTTTTTTTCGGACTTCTAAATCATATTTATGGCCAATTTTTAACTGTATACGTACCTAATATTTGTTGTTCAAATACCAACGCATTATAGAGACATAATAGTTTAAAATGTATTAATGACTTTACAAAATATCTGAACATTAATAACTAAAAAGTTTTAAAATAGCTTAATACATTTTAATTTAATTACAATGAACAATTAAAAAAATATATATAACTCTACCATAAGTGAATTTAATTTCAGCCTCAAATCCTTCGCCACCTCTTGATGAATCACTGACAAATTGTACATACGCAGTATTCGTTTTAGACACAAATTCTGGTAACTCTGTATCCAAAATTCCACAAAAGATACCAAAATCTTGAGAGTTATTACTTGTCAGATAGGAATCATCAAAAACAACGACAGAATCGTATGGACATTTTTCTGATATTTCATTAGAAGAATGTGGTGAACGTTCCAAGCGAAATTTAGTAAATCTGTAAGACACACTCAATCAAAAATGATTTATATTTATATTTAATATATTAATCTAAATAATTAATCATACACAATCTGTACAGCTTGGCCTGGAGGGGCTCGTATAATCCAAGAGCAATTTGCGTTATCCGGGTACTCATAAGTGCCAGACAGTGGGTTAATAGTCGTTGGGTATTTAATAATCCCCGGAATTGCAATTTCTCCTCCACATCCTGTACGAACAAAGTAAAACAATTTCCATTATACTCATTACTATCTACAAAGCAATAGCCGTTGTTTTCTAGTCCATACATAATATTATGTATCTTTACATATCTCAGTGTTAATATTAGAAAACCAATACCATTATAATACCATTTAGTGGATCTTGGAAATTGCTGTGTATTATACAGAGTTAGAGTTACTCCAACTAGCAGTTATTATACCTAGTACCTACCTATACATTTATAGATCACGATGAACTTTTTAAAATGGTCGCAAAATAATTGTAAAGTATATTCTCAACTAAAGAATCCAGTTGAATTACGCGCAGTTATAAAATATCATAAAACTGACAATAGATGTTTAAATGTTTTTATTTATTTATTTTATGTAAAATCACTGACATTAATTAAGTTTGTATTGCAAATCGTATACTATAGTTTTATTATTGTCACGGTAGACCACGGTTCATTGGTTGACCGCTTATTTTTATTTGGTCGATCGCGTATTTGGGAATGGCCATTCAATTAACAATAATTAATAGATACACCACTTGTGATTGACGTATTAATTTTACGAGCACACTGTATAAGTTAAATATTAGGTTGGTTTTTTTTACTTTGAACTGCTTGATATTGTATTTCGAATCCATGGTAGGCACCTTCAGCGTCTGTCTTGAATATCATCGTGAAACCATCCATAAATGTCATTGAATGTGGTACGTTAGTCCCGCAATACGTGCCAACGAAATCTCCTGTATGATTGTCCGACAGGCTTGCGGTGTTGTATATTGTTAAACTGTCATAACGACACCCATGGTCTGCTGCACATTCATAAAAACATGATAATTTCATATTTTCGTGTAACGTTAAACGTTGTTAGTTAGATATAATATGTTGAGATTTATATGTTTTTGGGCTGGATATGGCAACTGAACAGTGAGGAAGATAAAATTAATACACCAAGTTATAATTTTACGTTACAGTAGATACGTGAAGTTTTGCCCCTAGCAAACCATGAATAATGTAAAAAACCCGCTCAAAATCTAGCCATGCAATTTTGTTTTTCCTTATCGGATTTTTCGTAAAGTTGACTTTAAACAACCGATGATGATTATTATTACTTATTAGTTATTAGTTTAATTATATTACCATAGGGGAACCTCGTTGGTACATTTTTTTTACTTAACTGAAGCTAACCTAACCTAACTTTAAAAATATAATAGTATGAGTGTCCCTATTTCAGTTTTATTGTACGGCAATGTAACAAGGACAAATCGGCGTCAGTGTACTCAGAAATAGAGATTAACACATTGTCTCGACGCACAATCATTTTTCGAACCATAAATTGATTTCACATTAAATACATCCATTATATCATGCAGATTTTATGCAGTGACTGAGTGACATACTCAAAGACCTGTTACACTCAAAATCTACTATATTATAGCTGAGCAAGTTCTCAGGTTTATATAAAAATGTATAGAGGTTTTTTTTTTTAAAAAATATTTATCAAATATCATATCGAGCAATATTATAATATTCAATAAAAAGTTACCTTCCAGTTGGAACGAATTAAAAATCAATTTTATTTCCTCTCCGGGGACAGATATCGTATAGTTGCATTCTATGTCGTTCGGATAATGTTTTTGATAGTTCGGTGAAAAAATTTTTCCAGAATTTTCAGTGAAAACTCCACCACATGTACTAGACCACCTGGCCTAAATAATAAGATATTATTTAGAAAATCTTATTCGATTAATACAATAAAGAAATAGACTTGCTTTAAAGCCATCGCCTTGTATATCACTATCAGTTCGCAGACGAATTTTGAGTTTTGATTCGGACGAGTTGAATGGTGGTGGAATTTGACGACCACACAATCGACTTCCAATTGGCATCCAAATATCATTAACGAAATTAAAAACCTATTTCATCATGAATTAATAAATAATTTACTTTTTAAAATATTCAAATTATTATTTTTACGTATGGGAGGTATTTAAAAACGTTTGGCACCAATTTGTTTATATTATTTTGACGGGAATATTAACAAGTACATTAATAAACAGTAAAAAAACATGTATTCCTATTATAAGTATCCATAATTTGTTACCTGCACATAGTCTTTAGTACAATTTACACTTTGTTCCAGATAGAAACGTTCTACGAATTGCAAGCCAACGTTGTTGCCTGGCAATACCGCTATAATCCATTCGCACTCTTCGTTGTTTGGATATAAGTTTGGATAATTTCTACTAGATATTTCGCCTTCTTCCGCTGCATACATATTTCCACAGCCATTTTGTCGGGATTCTAAAGTTAAATTGAACCCTTTCATGTTACTTTTTCCATTTTCAGATGAAAATACTACCCATAGCTCGTTTGAAGTAGCTACTAAATTTTCCGGCAAAATGTTACCACAGTATTTACCCAATACAGGACTTTCAGGACTTGGCCCATCGTGTAACATAATATAATTGTTATCACACGATGAGTCGAGGTCGATATCATTAAAACGTACCTAAAGAAAAAAAAATGAATTCAATTTTTAATTTAATCTAAGTTTATTATGTAGTGTATTTATTTTTAGAAGGTATACTATTATATATTATTATTAATACAATTTTAATGAAGAAGTTATACTTAAAAAAATTAAAACTAAAATAATACGAACAAATCTGTTTTATAATAAAATACCAAATATTTCAGTTATTTAAAACATTACGTTATTGAAAACACTTCGAAACAGTTGAACAAATTATTCTATTGCTGTAGCATGAATAATCCAACCTAACAAATAAACTCTTAAAGCTGCTTAAGTTTGAAATTTTAATCTATTGAGCATATTGTAGTTACTTTAAACTTTGAAATATACACATGTATAAGTATATTATCATAAGATATTACTTATCGTCAGTGTTTATACTTACATCGACGTTATTACCTTCAGGAAGTTTCAAATACCAAGCACATTTTAAATTTTGGCCATAATTTTTAGGATAATTAGTACTAGTTATTGTTATTTTCTGCCCATTCATCACTCCGCCACATGAATTAACGTTATATTCAATTATCCCTGTGAAGTTAATTTTCCTTAAGTTTGTTCGCACCTAAAATATGAACTCATTATTCATTATCAATTAATTCATACGTTTTGCTTGAATTTAATTTTTAATGTATTACCGAAAGCTTAACCATGGGCGTTGGACTTAGTATTGTAAACTTGTCGTTCGTATTCGACATTGGACAATATCTTTTTAATAATTCACTATCATCTTCAAAATAATAATTAGAAATACATTTTAAAGACATATAAAGTGTAGCGATAATACAATATAATATATCTACCATAAGTGGCCAATAAAAGATAATATTCTTGGCAAGATATCTGGCTTTCATTGACTTTGAAATTAGTAGATATTACAATTGTTCCATTAGTGTTTGTTAAATCCCATTCGCAATAACCCTTGGTCAAATGTTTGATAGGAAATACCAAATTACCTTTGATACTAGCATCGATTATTCCTCCACAAACTATAACATTTATAAGAATGTAACTGCAGCTAATCTAAATATATATTTTTATTGTTCCAATATTTATAATTAATATAACAAATTTAAAAATTAGCTGGTTTTTTCTTTATTTTTAAAGTAGCATAAATTATTGTTATTACAGGTTTTTGAGATTGTAGAAATGGTCTAATTTAAGGAATTTAAATTTAGTATAAATAATCAATATCAAGCATCAACCATCATCAATACATAATATAAAATAAAGTTGCTTTTTTTTTGTATTGGATGAACTCCGAAATGGTTTGACCGATTTGGCTGATTCTTTTTTGTTGTGTTCATAATTAGCAGGACAAGGTTTGCATGAAAGACAATTTTTAAAAAATTCAACCAAAAAGTAGGAAATCTGGATGGAAAAAATATAACAGTGGCACCATCAACGTGTTGTAAATTCTAAACGTCATAATTTAAATAACGTTATTTCAAATTTCTCGTAAATCGTTTATGCAGTTTTCCTTGAAAGTGTGTGTAACCAATAGCTATATACAAAAAATTCAACAGAAAATGTTTACTTACTAGAAGGTTTGTCCGATGAGAATTTTAATCGAAAACCCTCAGGATCACCTTTTATGTTACCTTTTTCATAAACCAGTGTCATCTCGTTTTCAATTGATTCAAACATATAGTTCAATGATATAGGATTAATAATAGGGTCAATGCATACAACAGTCTGAGAGATCGTATTTTTTATTTGAAAAGCCTATAAAATAAAAACATTCAATAACATATAAATTTTAAAATATAAATTAAATTTATAATTTAAATGTATTAAAAATACATTTTTGGAATTAGTTATTTATAATATTTACTTCGATTTTCTCATGTAACATGTCCTCTGCGGGTAGTGAATTCCTGTCACAAGTTCGAATGAGCGATCTTCCTTTGATTATTTCTACAGTGATTCTACGTCCCTTAGGTACCTTAATCTTATAAATGCAAAGAACCCATTTACTATTCAACGTGGAGTAGAGAGGACTGCTTATTTCACCACTTTCAACATAGTAATTTTTAAAACAATCTATTGAACAATAAACACATAATGGCTAAAATATACAAACAACATTTCATTATAATTTATATTTAAATTTTGTTAATATGTCAAAATTGTATTCTAATATTATAATACAATATATTATATATTTTACAATGCATTGAGTAAAATATAAAGACGCATTACAGATGAAAAAATTATTTGGAATTACAATTAGTAATATATTATACTTAAACTACCTACCTATTTATTATACAATAATATTTTGATGTGATTTTACATAATTGGCTTTTATAATTATTGATGTAATCGAGTACCAATATCTTATGTTATTATTAATCAAATTACCTACCTATATATTCAGTCTCATATGACATTAAAAATTTTGCTTGTGTGTTGTTCATACGAAATGGTCCGTTTGTAAAGTATGATTTGAATTTAATAATTAATTCTTGACCAGATGATCTGATAACATCTAATGGTAGATCGGAACCAACAATTGTTGATATCTTCACCTCTAGAATAAAAAATAATATAAAAATTAAATCGTCATCAAAATATTTAACTATATATTTTTGATATTTTTTAATTGATATATTATAAAAAACTTATGAAGAAGTATTTTTAACTCTCCAAATTTTTGACCGAGTACAAAAATAATTTCGGTATTAGAAAACAAACTTAAAAATTGTCAAAAATGCTATCAAAAAAGAGTATGCATCAGACATTTGGTAAACATTTGAAAGGTTAGAAATTGCTTTTTATTTTTTCCGATTGTTCGGAAAAATGCTAAGAATTTTAGATTCTGAGTGAAACGATGAATGTATTGATTTTACAATGATGTGTGTTTTTTTATTTTTTTATTTTTTTTGTATCTGTGTACACGATAAGTAGTCGAAATAATGCTTCGATTTTCGACTTCAGTATCTTGTTCGATTGGAAAGTGAATATCGTTGGTGCATTGGGGAGGTCAAAATTTAAATTTCCCAGTAGTTTTCACAAGCGCCGGGAAAAAACAACATAAAAATTAAGGAAAAACGGGAATTTTTACGCAAAATTGATTTTCCAAAAAATCGATTTTGGTTATTGGTGTAACTCTAAAACAAATGAACGTATATACATGAAATTTTCACTGGTTGTTTATATTTGCATTTTCTATACACTATAACATTTTCAAAATATTTTGATTTATTTTGAACTGTTTAGGGACATTTTCATTTTCCATTTTTTTTTAGTTTTTTATCTAAAAATCTCAATAAAATTTTATTTGTTGGTTGCGAAAGCTTTAAAATTTAATAGAAGGCTCCTAATATGTTGTTTCAAAGGCAGATGAAAAATATTAAAAATCCTTAGTCACAATTTTTTTTTATAAGCATTTAAAGTTCAAAAATTGACAAAATATGGAAAAATCACGAAATATAGAAAATTATTTTGAGTTAAGAATTCGTAAAAGTTTTTCTTTTTAAATCTAAGATTTGAAAATGTAATACAAGATTACTAATAAGTTTGTCTACCTTTATCAATAAAAAAATCTCTACCGGAAAGTTAAATTAAATTTTTATGAGCGCTTGAAATTCAAATTTTTACAACATTGGATATCCACTCGATTTCTCATGACATGTGGCAATTTCCTTTTTTTGTTGTAATTAAAAAACGAATTACTGTAGATACATGAAAATTTCACTGAATGTTTATATTAGCATTTCCTATACACCCTACAATTTTGAAAATATTTTGACACTTTTTGAGCCGTTTACGGACATTTTCAGTTTTCAATTTTTTTAGTTTTTTTTTTCTATAAATATCAATTAAGTTTTATCTGTTGGGCCAAAAAGTGTAAAAATTTAATACAAGGCTCCTGATATATTGTTACAATATCAGTTGAAAAATATTAAAAATACATAGGCACAATTTTTTTTTATAAGCATTTTAACATCGAATTTTGATAGAATTTTTCAAAATCTCGAAAATTATTAATCATCGTAATTAATAAATTATAAAATGTTCAGTTTTTATAGCTAAGGATTGAAAATTTAAAACAAGATTCCACGTAAGTAGTTAATTCTCTTACCGAAAAATCTAAAAAATATACAATCACAGTTTACTTTTATAGTCATTTTATGTTCAAATTTGGACGAAATTACATATTAAAAAACCTAGTTATTTTGTTGTGATTATATAATATTATTCGTGGGTACCTACTTGAAACTTCTAAAGTGTACTATTATATATATATGATAGTATCAGGGTTTGTTGTTGATGTTGATGTATAACGTGTTATAAGTACCTAATGGATATTGTGATAATGTGATATGATTAATTTGGAATTTATTATAGGTCAATTTTTTTTTTAATACCATAGATATGTATATAATTTGTATTAAACCTAGACTGACATACCGTCTTCGCTCAGAATCGTTTTTCTTATACAATGATATTGTATCATTGAATTCAAATTTAATAGCATCCATTATACAGTGACCCACTTGTAACCTACTGTACAGCAGAGCGACATCCACTTACCCACCTTTTTAAGTTTGACATCTCAAAAATAGAAACTATAACCAATTTTCTAACAGAAACTACCACTCAAGAGTTGAAAATGTAAGCATTTTTTCTTCTAGCTCTTGTATATTCAGACACACACAGACACACACAAATAGACATTACTTGTTTTGTTTAGTGGGTCTACGTCAAATATAGTTAACGAGTCGTCGGAGGTTTCGTTGTTCACTACATCTCCAAAAATTCCAATGCCTGGATATCGGCGTTTAAGGTTCACCTTCTCAAATTTTAATATAACTTGCATGTTGGGTCCAGCGATAATTTTGTACTCACAATCCATGTTTGATTCGTATGAGCCGGGATAATTAGGTGACGAAATTTCACCTTTGTCTGCCCTTCGAGTTCCACCACATTTCGCTGTAGATAATAATAAGTTATTTACTTCACATCATATTGTAATTATTTTAATATAGATATGTTTTTGGGTTGGACGCAACTTATTTTTATAACCGAATTTTCGTAACACTTGAAAACCACAAATTACCAATGCATCAGCGATTACTGAATTTTCTTTGGAGAGGAAAAATATTTAGTAGCATGCTACCTTAATTCTTTTTTGTCCAATGAAAACATTAAAGCTGATAATTCAAGAATTTTTAACAAAAATATTTTACACGAGAAAAAAGTGTACTTATACAAATGTCAACCTATATCAGTTTTTGTTCTTTTTGAAGTTAAAAACGTTTGCGACAGTGATGACAAATCTTACGGCACTATTGTTAGTACTACAGCTTAGTTCCAAAATCAAAACCAAAAACATCAAAATGTCTGTATAAATCACATGTCAATGTGTTCAGGTTTAATGAAAAAACAATTTCTTCCATACATTTTATGGAATATATAAAAAAATAAAAAAGATGACAGTACATCGTTGGTACTGATGTTTAAAATAATATTATGCATAGTTATTAATTATTAATTTATTACATAACTTAAATTAAACAAAAAAGTAGTTACCTATAGTTACATTCAATTTAAAACCATTACTCGGTATAGTTAAATCCGTGAAATATTTAATGTATAAAAATCTGTCTGTAGTTTCGGTATTCGGAATGTCCTGACTGTTACAAAAATGACTTATTAATCGTGAAAATCGAGCTGCACCATCTCTGAATTCTAAATATTCTGTTTCACATCTATATGTATAGACACCAAAGTATAATCATTATATTTCATAAATTATTTATTGAATTAATTAATTGATTTTAGTCAAGTACAAACTATTGATTTTAATTTTTTTCCTTAAACAATTATATTATAAACTAAAATAGGCATTAATTTTACAATTACTTCGGAGTTAACACATTTTCTTAATCAATAAATCATAATTCAATTTAATTGTAGGTACATATAGTTTTAACTATAATTATATTATCATTATAATACAAGACATTCAAATTTTCTTAGGATAAATTGTCTTATTATCCTGTATAATGTTTATATATGTATAACAAACATAGGTTAATACAATTGTATAAAAATCTAGTGATATACGATAAACAAACTTTATCTTTTACATCTATACGCACCTATAGATTAATAGAAACACAAAAATATTAACTTTATTTTAAACTTACGTTTCACTGATGGAGAGATCTAAGTCTTCAATGGTTACAGATATCCGTGTGGCAGACGGTGCAACTACTGTCCAGATGCATTCTATGTGGGCTGGAGGTATATTTGGATATGAAGGAGATGTGATTTGGGTAATGCTGTATGCATCATTCAAAGAAATTTCTCCACCACAGTTTATTGATTTTTCTTCAAACGCTATTTTGACCTAATTTGAGTTTGTCAGGTTGGTAAATTTTAAACAAAATAATATTTGTGTATTCAGGAAAAATTTGAGGAAAACGATTTTAGAATTTTAGCGTTTTAGCACATTTCATCGTTCTACTAATTATTTAACCACATAACATAATATTTAAATGTATCGGTTCTAATGGATGTCGTACACTGTACATACTATTAAACTGTTAAAACTTACTATATTGTATCCTCCGTCTAGAACAGCATTGATTTGTAACATATTATCAGTGGTAGATAATGTTGATTCTTTAGATACTTTACAGTATTTTCCTTTGCCCATAAACGATGAATCCTCGTAAAATCCATTTTTCAACTAAAAGATTGTGTAAAGAATTAAAAATGAAAACATCATATTATTGTATAAATTTAAAAATGTGTTAAATTATAAAGGTCCTAACAATGTATATCTGCATGAAATGTTTCTTCTTAAAACTAGGAAAACAAATAATAATTGTCATATTTCCAGTATCTAAGTGTTGTGAGCGTATTTACTTGTACGATGACTTGAAGAAATACTAAGTCAATATTTATTAACACAACTAGGAATTAAAAAGAAGGGCGCAGAAGAAAAATTTGGAATCAAATCTCAAAATCAACCTGTTTATAATATTATGTGCCAACATACCAAAATATAACCATCAACACATCGACTACGTGATGATAATTTTATGTTCATAAGTTTCACTAAAATTGTTCTTCCGGGTCGTACAGTGATATTCCATGTACATCGAAGTTGTTTCGAGTGCGATAATTCAAATAGACTTGATACATCAGATAAACTAATTACTCCAGTTGGTCCTCGCAATTGACCTCCACATTCTATTATAACATAGAAAAGTTATGAAAAATGTTATCTGCTCTTACATATAAAATACAATTTAAGTAGATAATTTAACATACTTAATTTTGCTTTAACTTTAAATCCAGTTCCATTTAATGACTTGTTTGATATGAACGTTAATATTACTTTATTTTTTCCGACTATACTTGTGTCATTTATTTGTTTGGGGTTCGCATACACTGTTTTCAAAAGTATTGTATTTGCCGTATCAGGATCAACTAAAAAATAATTTATTTCTATAAACTAAATACGTAATATTCTGATCGATTTAATCACGGTTTGTGTTTATTAAACAGTCAATATTTTAGTTCCAAAATATTAAATAATTAACAAAATTAGTAATTAATATTAAACTAAAAAATTTCTTTAGAAAAAACCTATCTAAGATGAATACAAACAATAAATAAGTACTAACAATAATTAATGAACTTAAAAACAAAAATAAAACAACAATAATACCAGTTTCTACGTTCAGGTAATCTCCATGATGCGTGATCAAAGATGAACGAATAGGATAAAAATCTATGTCAATAAGTTCAATATCAATATGATAATGTGATTCCGTGTGTAATATCCAAGTAACATTGAGATTTGGTTTATAACCATGAGGATATCCAGGACTTGTAATAGTCACACTTGTATTAGAGGTTGATGATAAATAATAGTCAAAACTTGTACTATTAGCTGTAAATTATAAACATTGTGTCTTAATTAATATTTTACTTTAACTCGCTATATTCATATAACAACATATTATTGGTATAAAATTATGTATTTATACCATCGCTTACAATTATATGTCAACATTGGATATACTTTGTTCGAATATAGCGCATCTATTTGTGTCCACGATAGCAAAAACCGAATGCCTCCAACTTTTTTCTCCCCTGCTTTCAATCGTATGAAAACAGTGTTATCGCTGGATATAATAGTTTTCTTTGATTCTAAATTGTTATTTTTTGTAGAGCTTAGTTCAAATAAAATTAATGTTTCGACATTACTTCCATCGTATATCTAAAAATTCAAATAAATTTGAGAATTACTGAAAATACGAAAGATATGCTTCACCCAAGAGTATTCATTTACTTTTAATTCGTGAATTTCTGATGTGGAAATAAAGTCATTAATCACAATTTGAATTTTTTTTTTTTTATCTACCATTATTGTCCACGAATAATCTTCACTATCTCTATATGGTCTGGGATACATTGGACTAGAGATTTTGCCTGATCGCTGTGACTTGTAGATTTCAGAAACTAGCATATAAATGTTAAAAACTACTTAGTTAAAAACATTATATCAGTCTGATATTAATATTACCATATTTAAAGTCTGCAGTAAATCCTTTGGCTGAACCAACAGAATTCGAACGAAATTTGATCCAAAGTGTCGAACCCGAAGTCATATTGGATGGCAAATTTGGTCCGCAAAATATACCTAAAACTGGACCGATAGAATCCCCTTCTCTAACTTCCACATAATCTTCATTGCAAAACTCGTCATCTTCTAATTCAAAATCAATGAAATTCAAAGACACAAGATTTCCATAGGAGGACTTTAATATCCAAACACATTCTGAATCTCTAAAATAATTATTTGGATAGTTGGGTGAAGAAATTGTTCCTAGTATGGAGTCATAAGTTCCACCACATGCTAATTAAAACAAAACAATATTACTGCGAGGATATTTACATCGTATAAATTATATCATAAGTTTACTGACCTACTGATCTTACAGAGTACAGAGCTGTAAATGAATCCAACGCACCAGAGTTATCTGTGTACTCTATACGCATTGCAGGTCCATTACTGACAATAGGCGGTGGTATTGGATTTGACTTACAAAATTTAGTTATTTCAGGTGCATCTGAATCTGGCCCATCCAAAATTCGAAATATTGTGTGAAATAAATGGTTAGAACACGGACGTTCAGTTATATTTGACTTTTCTACTGTTTTAATATCTTCTGCGAAATGTGCTATGTCTATATGAGTAAACGTTAAAGTGACTTTCGATTGAGGGATGTCAGATATAATAGTCCAAGTACAGTTCTGGAGTTCACCATTTGTATAATATGGATTGTTAGTTATAATTCCCGAATCATTTGTTATTAATTTTGCTCCGCATGCCTAAAAAAAAATTCATCTCAATAGTAGAAGAATTGCATACATTAAAACTAATAAAAATTACCGTGGAATATATTGCTTTAAACCCTTTCGCTTGGAATTCATGTTTACCAACTTCAAAGGATATAAGGAGCTTATTTGATAAAGACATAACAGGTGGTGGTACACTATTTCCAGAGTGATTGAGGAGTAATTTCCCATGCATATTATCATCATATACAAGGACGATATCATTATTCCCTAGAGGCGAACTCTGAGTACTGAAGTCGACGAATGTAAGATTAATTAAATGTTTTTTTGCTATCTCAATATTCCACGTACAAGAACTGTGAGAATCGTAGCTCTGAGGGTAATTGCTAGTATGGATAACTCCCTGAGGTGCAGTAAACATTCCACCACATTCTAAAAAAAAATAAAAAAACAAAAACCATTAAAGTTAAGATAATCACTTTTTTAGTTTTAAATTTTAGACAATCAAGTTTATAAATAATATAGTATAGTTTATCAGTTTATCACTTTTCATCAGACAAAAATTTCAAAGATAAGATATTTTGTTAACTTTGTAGTTTGTAATTTTCCTAGTTATTTTTGTTAAAAGTAGAAAAAATAAACAAGCATACAGTGATAATTTCCTCGTCAAAATTATTATAAAAATTATTTTAAGATATACATATAATATTTAGTTTTTTTTGATTTTACTTCAGAAAATAATTTTTTTAGATTCTGAGTGAAACGATAAATGTATTGATTTTACAATGATGTGTGTTTTTTTAAGTTTTAAATTTAAATTTTAAATTTTTTTATTTTTGTGACTGTCATCACGGTTTGGGGCAGTAAAACTGCTTCGATTTTCTTCAACAGTAGATTGTTCGATGGAAAAGTGAATCTAGTTGGTGCATTCGGAAGATAAAATTTAAAAATTCAAAATAGTTTTCACGAGCGCCGGGAAAAACAAATAAAAATTAAGGAAAAACGTGAATTTTTACGCAAAATCATTTTTCTACAAAATCGATTTTGGTTTTTGTTGTTACTCTAAATGAACGTATATACATGAAAATTTCACTGGTTGTTTATATTTCCATTTTCTATACATGATAAAATTTTCAAAATATTTTGATATGTTTTGAACTGTTTAAGGACATTTTCAGTTTCCCATTTTATTAGTTTATTTTTCTATGAATGTGACTAAATTTTTATTTGTTGAGTGAAAATACTTGAAAATTTTATACAAGGCTCCTAATATATTGTTACACTGACATTTGAAAAATATTAAAAATCCTTAGTCACAGTTTTTTGTTATAAGCATTTCAAGTTCAAATATTAACAAAATACTTAACAAAAATGACGAAAATTTGCAAATTATTTCTAAAAATTTTTCTTTTTAAATCTAAGATATGAAAATGTAATATTCAATATTCCTCATAAGTTTGTCTACCTTTATCAAAAAAAAATGTCTATAAGAAACTCAAATTAAATTTTTACGAGCGCTTGAAATTCATATTTTTACAACATTTGTTATTCACTCGATTTCTCATGTAACGATTTTCTTATTTTGTTGTAATTAAAAAACGAATGACTTGAGATACTTGAAAATTTTACTGAATGTTTAAATTTTCATTTTCTTTTCAACTGATATTGTAACAATATATAAGGAGACTTGTGCTAAGTTTTTACACTTTTTGGCCCAACAGATAAAACTTTATTGATATTTATAGAAAAAAAAACTAAAAAAATTGAAAACTAAAAATGTCCGTAAACAGCTCAAAAAGAGTCAAAATATTTTCAAAATTGTAAGGTGAATAGGAAATGCAAATATAAATAATCAGTGAAATTTTCATGTATCTACAGTCATTCGTTTTTTAATTACAACAAAAGAAGAAAATCGCTACACGATAAATCGAGTGAATATCCAATGTTATAAAAATTTGAAATTCAAACGCTCATTAAAATTTAATTTGAGTTTCTTATAGACATTTTTTTTTTTTTGATAAATTTAGGTAATCTTATAAGGAATTTTGTATTCAATTTTAAAATGTTAGATTTAAAAAGAAAAATTTTTACGAATTCTTAACTCAAAATAATTTGCTAATGTTCGTGATTTTTCCATATTTTGTCAATTTTTGAACTTTAAATGCTTATAAAAAAAACCTGTGACTAAGGATGTTTAATATTTTTCATCTGCCTTTGAAACAATATGCTATGAGCCTTGTATTAAATTTTCAAAAGTTTTTAACCGACAAATACAATTTTATTGATATTTTTAGAAAAGAAACTAAAAATAAAAAATGGCAAATGAAAATGTATCTAAACAGTTCAAAATAAACCAAAATATTTTGAAAATGTTATCGTGTATAGAAAATGCAAATATAAAAAACCAATGAAAGTTTCATGTATCTAAGGTCATTTGTTTTAAAGTTACACCAAGAACCAAATACAATTTTGTGCAAAATGGATTTTGTGTAAAAATTCCCGTTTTTCCTTAATTTTTCTTTTGTTTTTCTAGCCGCTTTTGAAAATTACTATGAATTTTAAATTTTGACCTGCCCAATGCACCAATGATATTTACTTTCCAATCAAACAAGATACTGAAGTTGAAAATCAAAGCAGTATTTCGACTACTTATCACGTACACAGGAACAAAAAAAAATAATTTAAAAAAAAACACATATCATTGTAAAATCAACACATTCATCTTTTCACTCAGAATCTTAAATATAATGAAGCAGATAATTATATATTTGGGTAATAATATTATCATTTTAAATAATTATAGAAGAAAATAAATACTCGATCCAATCGTCCTGTATGTAGCTTGGAAACGTTTTCTCTGAGATTCGTCGAATGATTCAAATCTTACAAAAGCTTCATTTCCACTAGACGTCAAAGTAATTGGACTTGTTTGTTTATGGCATATTCTTAACAATTCCGGGGCTGAATCATCATATCCATTGTAAATCTATAAGAAATATAATAGTTTTTAAAATTCTGAATATAAACAGACCTATATATATACACACAGCTAAGTAATCAGTTAAACAAGATCCTGAAGTTTCAAACCACAAATCTTCTATAGTTATTTCCACAATATGTCCATTATTGATGACAATATTCCATTCACAAGTTGTACTCAAACTATAAAATTTAGGATATTCGGGTGATGAAAATTCTCCTTGCAATTTATTTAACACTCCACCACAACCATCTACTATCCATTCGATACGAAATTTATTCTCAAATATTTTAGATTCGTAGGAATCATAAGTGATTCTAACAATATTCTTAGTTGACGATATCACCGAATGTGGTTCTATGGAACAATTATTTTTCCACAAAACAGTATTAATGTCGTTCCTGTTTACTCCTTCAGTTATCTATGATTAAAAATAGAAATTAAAATCTATCAAAAACCATAAAATATTTTATGTCATATAAAATATGTCCATACATATACTTACAATTAAATTGTTATCTTCACTTTCATGATGAAATTCGTTTGAAAGCACTTTAGAATACCTAAAAATATGCAAAATCTAAAGTAATAATCCTTTTAATTTATGAATTTCTAACACTGCAATAATTGTTGTTTTAAATTATTTACTTATCCTTTTTTTTTTTATTAATTATCCCGCGGCAACTTTAGGCCATTGGGAAGGGGGTGGAACTGTAGGTTTTTGGAACTATAGGTATGTTACACGTCGGTATATTTTTGGCAGAATTTCTATTGGGGCACCCGTAGGTTTCTGCCATGCCCCCGATGATGCCACTTGTTCTCCGGACACCGTCACTTGCCCGGAGAAAAATGCCGCCCGGTGGATACTCATCCTTTATTTTAATTTTTAATACTATATTTTTTCTAAAGCTCAATATATAAAATAATTACACTCAAATTCCAATTTATGTAATACAAATAAATATTTAATTACAGAGATGTAAAATTATAAAAAAAAAATACGCCATTTATTAAATTACGAATTAGACAAACTTTGAATCATATACAAGTTTGTATTTTTAACTGTACAATGTACATTTATAATTTATACACAACATTTAATGAAAAAAATAGGTGAAGTCATTCTACAATGTAAAGAAGATTTTGAATAAACATTGGCAATGAGTATTTCAGTGTAATGGATGAGATAAACTAGAATCTAATACTTATTAAACGATTCTGAGCAGAACGACGCCTACATTTCTAAGGATGTTTTATTATTTATTTATTTTACTACAAGTAAAATATAAGTAAGCCCGCTAAAGATACCTCCAGCTTAAGACCCCGTTCAGCGAAAAAAATTATGAAGCAGAACGGAGAGCATGTTAACGGATCATGCAGAAAGAAAAAAGAAACTACATGAACTATTGCGTGGGACAGAACAAGACCGCACACAAAGTAGAATATGGAACTTTTTCACAAAGATTAAAAAGTACAAACAATTAAACCCTATTCTAAAAGCTATTAAAGACACTGATGTCAAAATGTTAATAGAGCCAATTGAGGAAGTAACACGATGGAAAAATGACTTTGAAGTACTGCTTAATAGTGAAATACCAGTGAGACCAGTGTCACCATGGATAGATCATAGAGCTGAACAGGAGGTAAGCGATAAATCCATGCAAGCAGTCAAAGAAGCTATCAACCGTTTGAAGAATTGGAAAGCGCCTAGAGCAGATGGAACAGAAAGTTGTAAGGAGTATACATAGGGATAATCGTGGTATCGACATTGGATCAAAGAAGATTGGTATTCTAGGTTTTTCTGATGATTTGAATTTAGTTGGTGACGATGGGGAGAGTGTGACACAGAGCACCACAGCTCTCATTAATGAAGCAAAAACCATAGGGCTGAATTCAAATGATAATAAAACATTAAAACCAAAGTGATGAAGCTATTACCAGTCAGCAACCAGACTAACAATGTAGTGGTTCAATTACATACATTTGAAAAAGTACACCAATTTACATATCTGGTGCCCTCTATCAGTGATAATAATGATTCTTCCGTCGAATTAAATTGTCAAATCATCAAGGGAGAAAAGGTTTCATTTTCGTTAGCTAAATACCTAAATTTTAAACTGTTTTCTAGAATAACCAAAGTACACCACTACACGGCGATAATTAGACATACACTAACTTATGGATGTGAGTTATGGCCTTTAACCACAGAATATAACAATGATCAGAATGAACACTGATAACATTTTAAACAGGCAGTATAGGACAACGGCTTGAGTCGGTCGGCCATGATACCTAAGGGTTACAGTAGGGCCAGTTCAACCAATCCACAGGGAGGAGACCCAGAAGACGTCCAAAGAAGTATTGGATAAATGGAATAAAGCAGGACTTAGAGAAACTAGGGATACGGATTGGGAAGAAAAGGTACAAAATCGAGAAGAGTGGAAGGAGGTGTCGGTGGAACCAAAACCTCTTGAAGAGTTGTGATGCCAATGAACAAGAAGAATAAGTAATTTAATTTTCTATTAGTTATATGGTTGTGATAATGATTGACCGTTGGGGTGCGGAGTTACAGTTATAAAGGGTGTCCCGTGAGGATATACGCATTAGTCGTAGGGGGGGACTCGCCGCCCGGACAAAAATCGGGTTTTTGCTGTTTTACAAACAAACTAAAAAATATTGAAAATCATGAGGCTAATGAAAGTAAAATGTTGAATGGTCAAAATGTTCAGAAAATTAAACTCCATAAAATGGCGTTTGATATTAAACTATTTCGATATTTGGTGAAAATATCAATAATAGCCGCACCTTGCAGTTTTTATATTTTTTAACCACAACACAAAATGTTTTGTAATGTTATTTAAATTTCCCGGATATGTTAAATAGTACTGTAAATTTTGACCCTGAATATACCGAAAAGGTGAATATAAAATCTCGTCGTCGTCGTCGTCTTCGTAATCGCCGTATTCATCTATCCACGGGATGCTATGAGGTGATATTTTAAATGCAGTAAAAGTTATATTAATTTTACTTCCTTTGGGGGCTATAATTGTCCACACACATATTTTTCTGCTTGCATATTTTTCTTTAACCATTTCAATCGCGCCTTGATATCCCTTTAAATTTACATGGCAGTCTAAAAAAAAAAACAATTAGTATTAAAACTTTGCTATACATCATTCACAATTAATTTTTTATAATTTAATTTATACGAACCAGTGGCATATGTTAACGAAAAACCTCTACCTTTAGAAAAACCACTACTTCTAAATTTAATATACATTTGATTTGATGTTGAATGTAAAACTTTATATGTTTGAGTATAATTACAAAATGTTCCTAATGATTTACTAACAGAACTTCCACCATCATAAAACTGTAAAAAATAATTTACAACAAATATTTTCCCACTTAAATCGATACATTTAACTTAAGTCATAACTATAGGGTAGATGGACAGGGTGGAATAAAAATAATTATGATAGTGCAATCGGGTTGGGTTGAATTCCAAAAAACTAATACATTTGTAAGCCCACATATAATACTATGTAATATGCGTAAACACATGGGCCGGAACATGAAATATTTTATGCATTAATTTATAATTCAGACCAAAATTATAGGTTTACCAATTACCACCTATGAGTATTAAAACACAATATTGGTACATACTTCGAGAAAATCGTCATTACACAATAATCCAGGAACATTGTCTGTTACTAACTGTAGATCTAATATATTAATGCTGATACGACTTCCTTGTTCTACATTTATCTTGTAATAACATTCTAATGTTTCTTGTACAGGTAATGGATAGTTAGGAGATACGATATGCCCTTGACCAGAATTCAAAGTTCCACCACAACCTTTTAAATATGTTATTTAAAATATTATGTGTGTAAATAAATTATATTATATTTGATAGGTAATACCTCTGGCTGTTGTATACCATTGCATGAAAAAACCTTTAAGTCCTCTAGTTTCATCAGATACAAATCTTATAAAAAGTGAATTTCCTGATGATGATAAAGTAGGAAGAGTTATATATCTACAATACTTTCCAATTAAAGGTGATGTAGAATATCCACCATTTCTATAAAAATGTATAGGTATAATTATTACATGTCGCATAATTTATGCTTAAATCAGTAATTTCATATGGTTGGAGGGGGAGGGGTTATCATAATAATTACATATTATACACCTACCTAATATAGTTAATAAAAAAAGAAAAAACATGAATAATATGATACCCATTCATATTTCTATATTTTTTTTTGTTAGTAGCTTATAAAATATTATAATTTATAGGTAATAAAATTTTTATTTTTTTTTTTGGATTTTTCGATCATTTGTTGACAACGATGTCGTCGATAACGTTTGAAAAATTATTTGAAAATACACACTTTTTTGTTTTTTGTTATAATGCATATTTTCCATTTTTTTATCCACACACTGTTCAACTCTTCAGATTTCACCGAGGTTATCACTTGTTACATCGTATTTAACACTTGTCAGTAGTTTCAGATACTAGATTATGAGATACATTACTTACTAATCTATAGTATTTGATAGTTTTAAAGGTTAGATTAATATATAGTTTTAAAAGTCACCACAATGTCGCACTGTCGAAGCGTGACTCACATATCTAAAAACACGAAACCCCTTACTTATAACCGATTGACAATAACCATACATCATAATATTTATTGATTTATATATCAAACTAAAATCAATCATTATTATAAATTTATAACTAATAAATTTAAAAAATTTAAATACTATGTTAGTAGTTTTAAATGTTTTTAAAAACATTCATATATAGGTACTTTCCGTGTTATAACTTATAAGGGGTTTAAACCCCCTACCCACCGTGGCAACCTCCCTGACTTAAATTAGACGTACCGGATTTCAACAAAATCATAACTACAGTCACGACTCTCTTCGAGATCTAATTGAGTGAAGTTCAACTCAATCTGATTTGAGACTGGTACATTTATGGTCCATTTACAATCCATCCTAGGAGGATAGTCGTTTGGGAAATTTGGTGACGTAATAAAACCTTCTGAGGTGAAGAAGTTTCCACCACATGCTACATAAATATAAACCATTAATTATATGATAAATGTATATTAGAATAAATTAACATACCTTCTGCTTTATTTATAGAAGTATAATTTAACATAAACCCATCCAGTGCTCCTAAATGATCAGTTTTATATACTATTGTCAGACGATTACCTAATGAAGTTAATACAGGTGGAACTTTAGATCCACAATATCTAAAAATTATAGCATATAAGTTTTAAATATATTCGTAAAGGCATTTAATTTTCTATTCAATGCACCTATTTTAATAATAAGTCCAAATATTTAATTATCATTGCAATGTGAAACTATTCAGTCACTTACTTGGCAATTTTTGATGCGTTTCCTTGAATACTATTATCATAGACTTCAACATAGTCATTATTACAAGTGAGATGGTTATCCAAAGAAAATGATACCCAATTTAATCGAATTTGACTAGATTCATTTACAGATATAATCCAATTACAAATCTGATATTTTAAATATTTTTCCGGATTTTTCGGTGATTGTATGGTACCAGACGGTTCCTTTAATATACCACCACATGCTAATTAATATAAAAATATTTAAATCATAATTATCATAGTTATTAGTTTAATTCAATAATACTATTGTTTACTTATATCAATGGTTGAATAATTAGCCCGAAATCCTTTATTAGAATATAAATGCGAATCGACATTCGAAAATTTTAACAACATATAATTATGTGTTGATATGTATGGAAGTTTGGGAAGTTTTTGAATATTTCCACATAGCAATGCGATTATAGTTGAATTCGAATTGTCCCCGTCCCTGATCTGAAAGTTAAATCATTTACACTGATTATCATTATCAATAAAATATAGGTACGAACAAACTCGTGATGGTTTTAGATTACGAAAAGTGTAAAATATATGAATCAAATTATAATATAATATAATATATATTAGGTATAATTTACTCATTCAAATTCTTACAATTTATAAAACATATTAGGTACGATTAGATTATCTATATAATAATTATGTAAATTATAACTACACATTTTCAAAGGTCTCACACCTTAAATAATATAAACTTCTGTAAATGAAATAATAAAACAGATGATTTCTAAAATAAATGTACAAATTGAAAAAAAAAATTTAATTATTTTCATAATTAATGAATGTTTATAGAGTTGTACTTAGTACTTTATTAAACTTCTATTTGCGTATTTTAATATTATTATTTACATTAAACATATATACATAACCGTCAAGCTACTACTATTAATTGAAATAAATACTAAATTAAATTTAGGTACTTTCTATAAAACAAAATATATCTATTTACAAATATTATAAGCCCAATTTAAGTATCTAACAAAAGGATCACTATAAAATATTTCTAAATCTTAATTACCTCTAACGAATTTAAATAACATGATGGATAATTAACATCCATATCCATATCCAAAAATGATAATCGAATAGCTTTGCCAACTGGTTGTTCGATTAGATACTCACATATTTTTTTTTCTGGGTATGGTATTGGATAGAATGGCGATTCGATTATACCATTACTATCAATAAATGTTCCACCACATACTAAAAGTATAAATTATTCAAGAATGTTTACGAATTTTCAACATTTAATATTAAAATCAAGGAAAGTATAATATTCTATTAAATATTATTTTGATTATTATTCTTCTATTATTACATAATTTTATTACAAAATAAAACAATATTTTTACTACATTATATTATTATGATTTAATTACTAATTGGTTCTTGAGAAGATATGAAATAAAAATGTAATAAACTATAAAAATTATAAAGACAAAAATGGTTTAATTATATATATATTTTTTTTTAATTTTAAATTCTTTAGATATAATAGGTGCTTTTTGTAAAAATAATTACCTGAATGTAAGTATAGTAATAATCATAAAATTGTAAGTTAGTACCTAGTAAAAATGATTTTATTTTTATCTATTATATATTTATACATACATATATCATATTTAATTGTAAACCCTTCAATTATTGATGAAAAATTTGATATAAAAAGAAGAGTAACTTCATTACTGTTTGTGGTTATTGGTTGAGTATATCTAGTTGAACCACAATAACGACCAATTAATGGAGATTTTATACTGGGGCCATCGTGAATTTGTAAGAATATAAATATCTTATATTTCTGTCATAAAAATAATTTGAAAGTATTATAAAGGGTTGATAAAATTTAAGTAAAGACAACATCACAAATTAGAAATAACACATACTTCCAAGAATTCTTTTGAACAATTTGTAGAATATTTAATGCCAAACTTCTTAACGAACTCGAGTTTGAGTTTCTGATGAAGTGGCATTTGTATATGCCACTCACAATTCAAACTGTCCAAATCGTTAAAGCTATCACTTGTCAAATGTAGGGGAGAAGATATGGTTCCAGACGTGCTTGTATAAGTTCCACCACATCCAGGTACACCTATTCAAGTACAATATATTAATATGTAATTTTTTCAGTTAATAAGTAGAAAATTTATTATATAAGAAACATAATATGAAATGTTGAAACAATAAATTATTATATAGAAACAGTGCCGTAGACAGGAATTTTATATGGGGGGGGTTTATTATAATAATAACATGTTATAGTAAATTAAGAAAAAATAACACATAATTTATATTTTTATATCTTTATTTTAGTGTCTTATAAGTTATAATATCAGATCTATTTTTTTTTTAGATTCTGAGTGAAACAATGAATGTATTGATTTTACAATGATGTGTGTTTTTTTCTTTATTTTTTTGTTTTTTTTTTGTGTGTCATCACGTTTTAGGACAGTAAAAGTGCTTGGATTTTTTTCAACAGTAGCTTTTCTGATAGGAAAGTGAATCTAGTTGGTACTTTGGGGGGGGGGGGGGGTCAAAAGTAAAAATTTTCCAGTAGTTTTCACAAGCGCCGAGAAAAACAAAATAAAAATTAAGGAAAAACGGGAATTTTTAAGCAAAATTGGTTTTCCAAAAAATCGATTGTGGTTTTTAGTGTAACTCTAAAACAAATAAACGTATATACATGAAATTTTCACTAGTTGTTTATATTTGCATTTTCTTTACACGATAACATTTTCAAAATATTTTGATTTATTTTGAACTGTTTAGGCACATTTTTATTTTCCATTTTTTTTTAGTTTTTTTTCTAAAAATATCAATAACATTTTATTTGTTGGTTGCGAAAGCTTGAAAATTTAATAGAAGGCTCCTAGTAAATTGTTTCAAAGGCAGATGAAAAATATTAAAAATCCTTAGTCACAATTTTTTTTTATAAGCATTTAAAGTTCAAAAATTGACAAAATATGGAAAAATCACTAAAATTAGCAAATTATTTTGAGTTAAGAATTCGTAAAAATTTTTCTTTTTAAATCTAAGATTTGAAAATCTAATACAAGTTTACTCATAAGTTTGTCTACCTTTATCAATAAAAAAATCTCTACCGGAAAGTCAAATTAAATTTTTATGAGCGTTTGAAATTCAAATTTTTACAACATTGGATATTCACTCGATTTCTCATGTAGCGATTTCCTTATTTTGTTGTAATACAAAAACGAATAACTGTAGATACATGAAAATTTCACTGAATGTTTATATTAGCATTTCCTATACACCATACAATTTTGAAAATATTTTGACTTTGTTCAGCTGTTTGACTGATATTTCAAAGTCTAACATCTCAGCCAATCTCTATTTAAAAATATAATTCTAGTTAAAAAAATGAACATTAAAAAAATTGAATTTAAGGCATTCATTACTTGAGCATCTTTGAACATTTTTTCAGTTTTTTTTAGCACGGTTTTAACTTTTAAAGTTTTAACTGTAATACTGATAATACCTAATTAACATTTTATCTTAAATTTCAGTATTATCAACATGAACATATAATAAGATTATCAATTATCACAGTAACAAAACGGTTATGGTAATGGTGATTTGTCATTGCGACCATTAGACGATACACAAAATACCTTACTTATAACCAATAACAACACAAACATCTAAAATATTATTAATAACTATTAATGATAAAAATTTTTTTTAAATATATAAGATATATTAGTAGTTTTAAATATTTGAAATAAATTTATAAACTTTCCAAGGGGGGGGGGTTGAACCCCCTAAACCCCCCCCCGTGTCTACGGCCCTGTATAGAAATAAATAATAATATATACCTTCAATTACACTGTACGTTATTTGAAATCCGTATTCTTGGCCAAGACTATCAGAATGGAAATGCAAACTTGCATGAGAACTTGAAGTTATTATAGGAGGAGGCAAACTTTGCTTAGGAGTATTGCATAATTTGGCCAATATTGGACTGTGCTGAGTAAAACCATCTCTAATCTATATTTATAATTAAATAATTGTAATTTATTATAATGATTATTTTTTAGATAATCAACGTTTATCGTTTTAACCATCAATAATAGTATAATACCCGTACGAAAATGTTACCTCTAAATAGTCGTAACTACAAGTTATATGGTTCTCAAAGCTTAATGAAAAGAAATTGAATTGAATTCTTTTTCCTGGAATGGCATTCAATGTCCAATAACAGTCACGATTATTTGGATATTTACCTGGAGAACCAGGAGAAGATAATGTTCCGTGAGAATCGATATTGAATGTACCACCACAGTCTAAAAAAATAATTTGAAGGTTTTAATTAATGTATAGATTTAGGTAAGAATAATGCACTAATATGTCAACATTAAACTCTACCTGGTTGTATTGCTGTGTAGTTTAACTGAAAACCTCGATAATTTGTGGATGCGTCAGATCGAAATCTTATAATAACTGAACTTGAATCCGAAATAATGTTATTGTTTATAGGTAATTTATTTCCACAAAATCTACCCAACGCCTTACCACCATCGTCGTCGTTGTTTATAATCTAAAACGAATCAAAAGAGATAACTAAAAATACAAAATAAAAACAAAATGTGCTTACTTCAACATAATCCAAAGAACAATTTATTGATTTTTCAATATCAATCCAAACAAATGATATATTTATGACTAGAGACAGATTTACATTAATTATCCACGCACAATTCATGTTGCTATTATATGTTAATGTTGTATTTGACTCTGGATACTCTATTGATCCATTATTTGTGTCGAAAATACCACCACATTCTTTAAAATATATCTGCATTAAATAATTTTGCAAAAAGAACATTTTTAATAATATCTCGCGTCATACACTAACCTTCTAAAAATGACCCACATAAGGTTCCAAAATAACCTCTATCACAGTCACAACGAAATTCGCCGGATTTTGGGTCAGGGACACAATCTCCGTTCAGGCAGGGATTTACTAAGCATGGGTTTTCTACGGTAATATTACATGTTCGTCCTATGATGAATAAAATTCGTAATAAAATAATAATACGTAGGTATATTATACTTAAAAAAATGTTGTAAGCAAAATGTCACCTCTATAACCCGTGTCACACTGACACAAAAAACTATTAGTTGAATTTGGAAGGCACACACCATGGAAACCACAAGGACTATTCAGGCAAGGGTCTATAGTTCCATGGTTTTCTATGCATCCGTTCAACCCTATACCATTACCATTATACCCTTGTCGACATGTACACTGAATTGTTGTTTCAGCATAAACTGTAATCAAAGTAAAAACAAAGTCATACGTAATGACTTAATAATATACGAAAACATATTTTTATCTTGTTTACCAGTGCACTCAGCATTTGGATGACACCCTCCGTTGTCTATCGCACAGGCTCCTCCAGATTTATAGATGCAATTAAATCCATCGCCACTATAACCAGGCGGACATAATTCGCACTTAAACGAACCCTGGATGAGTTATCAAAACGACGAATTATGTTAAAAGTAAAAAGAAAAAAACAAAAGTAAATTGTACTTTAGATGAGCATGCTATCAATTTTGACAATATATGTAAATAATTTTGTTATTTGCGTCTAAACAATAATCGCACGCATTCCTAACGTTGATTCAACAAAATTATTGACATATTCACTTACTCTCGTGTTAATGCACTGAACTCTGGGATTCACGCTGCATCCACCGTTGTTCACCAAACACTCGTTGACGTCAGTACACACAAACCCGTCTCCCTCGTAGCCTATAAGCAAATTAAAAAACCCGAAATCCTTGTACACGTGTTATGTATATTATTAGATTTTTAGGAGTGTATTTATTTACCCTCTGGGCAGTTTCCGCAAGTAAACGACCCTTTGGTGTTCCTGCACTCGACCGGTGGGTTTGTCGAGCACGTGTGCTTGTTTTCCTTGCATTCGTCCACGTCTTTCGTGCAAGCCGGATGCTGTCTGCTATTCGTGGTGGTCCAACCCTTTAGTGATAAAATACAAATACACGATAGTATGAACACAATCTCCCACAGTCTTCCTTCCGAGTCACTGACCTGACTGCAAATGCACGTGTAACCGACCGTCGACGGTTGATTGATGCACACGCCATTGCCGCATAGCTCCGACGAAATTTCCCCGTTACAATCGTTATTCCTTTTCGTACAGTGCAACCCAAACCAGTTAGTGGCACATGCGCACTTGTAACTTCCAGGCGTGTTCTTGCATTCCGCTCCGTTTTGACACCCTAAGTCCGTGTGCATGTACCTTACACATTCGTCTACATCCAGTTCGCACAATTTACCCTGTGTAATAAATTTAATTTTTTCTTGGGATCTTTTTTCAAAGTATTCTCTGACGAATGTAATGTACAATCTTATAACTATTTCAATCCGTGACTCCCATCGTCCACTGTCCAGTTAAACTTCGATTTATGTAAATCAATAAATTATATATAATAATACAGTGGTAATACAGATACTATACCGTCGTAAAATTAAAGGCATTTTTCGTATCAATTTTAAATACTGAACCTTCTATGCTAAATTTAAATATAAATGTTAAATTGTATTTAACAGACACGTCTGATTGTGTAACATTTTGGTTTGTACAACATTTAAATATTACAAATTCTGTACAAAAATAATATTCAAAATATAGGTACTTAAAATATTTAAAAGTATAACCAAAACTAAATAAAATATCTAAATCATTAGTCCAAATGTTAAGTTTATAAAGTAATTATTTTCTTGATTTATAAAATAATTAAAATAGTTAACTTATACACACATAGCACCTATAGATCGACTATAGATACTATTTTTTACGCTAATGCATTTAGCCACTGATTATAATATGTGTACATCTTAACACTTACCTGCCAATTATGTGGACAATTACATTGAAACCCGTTATAAAGATCTACACATGTGCCTCCATTCTGGCAAGGATTACTCAAGCATTCGCTAATCGTCAAAAGACTAATGAGATTAGTGATTTTCTTTTCCAAATTCGTCAGCTATATAAATATAACAATGTTGAGTTAAAATGTTATTTGTTTACTAGTCAAGTTTGATTTACTCACTCTGACTTCTAATCTATTTGCGGTGAACGTCGTTCCACCTTTCTATGCCAACACAAAAATATACCGTATATAGCTTTAAGTATTTAAGTGAAATTAGTGGTAAGGAAATGTATGTTGTTGAGTGATTGAAAGAAATATTTAATATTTAATTTCACCAACATTTTTTCTAACACTCTAAACTAAAGTTAGAATTTCTTATTATTATATTAATTTAATTAATATAAATCTCCGCTCTCATATAAAATTGTATTATTATTACATTTAGAAAGCATCAATTTGTTATTTAAAAATTTCAATAATAGTTGTTTTCTACGGAACAATAGCAATTTTCCTCACCACGATTTCATACATACAAAACTTTGCAAAATCAAATCAACTTACACCCTTTATAGAGAATTTCGATGACGCATTTATAATTTTCATTTCCAGAGCGGTAACTCGACTGGATAAACTTCTCGGACCATCTATCAATGGCACAAATTTTTCTATTGTATCCGCAATCTCTGGCAAATCGTTTGATCGAAACGAATCGATTAGTTCCGAAGCTTCTTTAGCCTATACAATGTCCCCATTAATATTACCAAATATTATTTATTATCCTATTACAGATGTATTCTATTATTTAATTACCAGTCCGATAATTTGGAGTAAGTTTTCATTATTCACGTTTATAAATCCTTTTCCTTTAGTACTCAAAGAAATATTGCGACTAGTGGCGCTGTCAACGCATAGATGTCCGTTGTCAGATCGAAAGCATGGCCTAAATTATTTAAAATCTTATTTTGTTTTAAGTACCTAATATTTTTTCAAGCTCAATTGTATTTTTCATTTAAATAATTCCACTAATACGTATTAATAAAACTTCATATAATGAAAAAATACAATAAATCAATTGAATTGGTAAAGACAACTTTAATCAGTTATTATCCTATCTATATAGACCTATCTATCTAATTATTACCATTTTTAAATACTTTTAAAGGAAGTAACATACAAGCAATTTAACTTAGCTTGGCGGCCACTAATATACCTACAACTAAACATATTATATTGCTCACATAAATATTTACATCCCCATTTTATATTTGTATAATATTACCATAACCTTATTTAAGTACATACTATAAGTAGCCACCAAGTTAAGTTAAATTATTTGTACTAAATTATCGCACTTCATCAAATAGTAAATACAGACAATTATAAAAAAATTCTATACCAATGAATTTAAGAAATTATTCAGCCCTTTTTCGATATCACAACCTTTCTAACTAAAGTTTTTTTTTTTAGTGAGTATTTCCCACGTGACGGAGTGTTTTTGTTGTTGTTTTTCCATATCGTCTATCATTAATAACTCACCGATCTAAAATTATTTACACATTTTAAGAGTCATCATATACCTATTATGGTAGGTAGTTATTATGAAGACATTAAAACAATTTATATCAATTTGAAAATAATATTCTTAGTTTCAATCTAACTTTAAGGTAAAAATAAAAAAATATTGTTGTATTTTAATATACTTATCGAGTTATGAGTTGTCGAAATATAAACACACAATTACTTACTGTTTACTATACTGTCCAATTGTAGAAGTGATTAACATAAAAAGCAAAATAAAAAGCGACCCAACTATTTTCCACATTTTAGTGAAAAATATAAAATTGATTTAAACTAATGAAGTTAATATTATAATATATGTATATATTGTATAACCTAACTAAACAGTTAAAATATCAGTAAAAAAAAACAATGTTTTCGATACTACGAATAATGGAATTTGTGGACTACAATAAAATACAATAATATGTGTGATATAGTCATTAGTTAGAACTACGCAAAACATAATAATATATAAATAAACGTACATAGTATCACGATGAAATATTGTATAATGTAATTCAATAATTTTTGTACACCCACAAATTGATTATTATGAGTTCACGTCTGTACTTAGTCATGATAAACGTGACATATTGACATAAACAATGATATTCTGCAGCGTACATACATCACCTATATAGTTATCCAGAGTTACTAGTTACATGACTTGCTAACTGATAAAGATGGCAATACCTTTGGCAGGAGACTTAGAGTTGGACGGTACATATAAGCATCTGAAATTTGAAGTAATATTAAAGTTATGACTTATAAATCAAAGGACCAAAGAAAATATATCATACACTTTAAAGAGTCAAATTAAATTTTTACGAGCGTTTGAAGTAAGACATATTGGATATGTTATATTCACGCGTATTTAACAAATTCTCATACAACGATTTTAATGATTTTATTATTTTACTGTTATTCAAAAACTGATGAACGTAGACACTTGGCATTTACACCAAATGTTTAATTGATCATTTCCTATGTTTGATAATATTTTGCCTCGTTTTAAATTGTCTACAAACAGTTTCAGTTTTAAATTTGTTAAAAATTTTTTTCCTATGAATGTCAATAAAATTTTATTCGCAGGGTCAAAAAGCTTGAAAATTTAATACAAGGCTCCTGATATATTGTTACAATAGAAGTTGAAAAATAAATAAATATATAAAGGCATGTTTTTCTTTTTTTATAAGCATTTAAAGTTCACATTTTGATAAAATTAACAAATTGAAAATTTACAAATTATTTAGAACTTAAAAATTTATAAAATATTCCACTATTAAAGATAAAGATTGTAAAATATGTAAAACAAAGTTTCAAGTAAGTAGTTAATTATGTAAGCATAAAATCTAAGTAATATATAAACATAGTTATTTTTATAGTTATTTTAAGTTAAAATTTGGACGAAATATCCTAGGCTGACAAACCGTATCCATTCAGATCGTTTGTATTTACCATGATATTGTATCATTGAATTTAAGTTGAATATCATCCATTATACAGTGACCCACTTGTAACCTACTGCTGGCAGAGCGACATCCACTTAACTTATTTTTTTTGTTGAAATAAAATTGTGTGTAGAAAATAATATCAAAAGGATATTTTACAAACAATAATCAAACTTCAATATTGTTTTATGTAATGAATTAATTGAATTTAGACGATAAATTGTAAATTTTCAGTGCACAGTGCACATGAAATAGATACGATTCACAGCTGATTTCCCATATATTTTGTTACAAAAAATTTACATACAATATAAAATTATCATAGATTTTTAAAAATGATTGAGGTTCTTATAGCATTCTTAAAAATAAATCTTTAATATAATTTAAGCTATTTATATATACAAAAATTATGTAATTGGTAATTATTTAAGTTGCAATCCATCTTATATATGTGTGTATATGATCATGCTGCTTCTTATACGTTTGTTCTCGTTTTCATTCTGTAACAGGAAATTGGAATATAAAAAATATTAATAAGCTTATATAAGTCGATATTCCATGTAAATTAAATTGTAGTACAACTGTGCATGTTAGGAAATATTAATTTATGAAATAGCTGTACGTAAGAATTAATAAAGCTTTTAAATAAAATTTAAATAAATTTTAAATAAATATCTTAATACCCAAATGTCTCATATAGGTATTTTATAAAATTGTTGCTTACAAGTTACAATGAAAACCTATCAATCTAAAAATGCTAATGTTTAATGCTTAAGTAAATATATATCTATATTTATAGTACTAAATTCACATATGCTTATTGTTAACATTATTTACAGATTGTATTTTTCAATAAATAAAAATTATTATTATTATCAAATAAAGACTACTTTAATTTCTTTCAAACTAATAACTTTTATTTAACACAGATGATAAAAGTTTTATCGTGTTACTCATATAATTAGTGTTTGGAGTATGAGAAATATTTCACAAAAACGTGAAACATTGACATTTTTTTAACACAAATAAAAACACAATTTATTTATTTTTTTAACACAATGTTCAGTGTTATAAATTCTAATGTCAGAATTCAGTAAGTATACAATATACATGTATAATATTGTATACCTACTTGTATCATTTAAACATTAAAATATTTAAAAATTTTGAATACCAATTTTAATGTATAATACCAACGATTAGGTATATATACAGGTACCATATAGTGATGAAGGTAATTTATGACAATTATATGTAAATATAAAACTTATTTAAAAATAAAACAAAATTTATTAAAATACTGAAATATTTCATTTTTTTAAATTTCATGAAATTTTCAAACACTTCGTATAATACATTTTCACAATACAATTTGAAAATCGTTTCGGGGTCGCGACAGGTGGCTCAGCGTTTGCCCTTTAATATATTTTATTTACGATAGACGTTTCAGGAATTTGATAGTTGACACAGCGGTGATTATCTGACCCCACAGCAGGGTGCCCAACCCGAACAACAAGCTCCACATCCACTGATCTAGGGTGAGGCCCTTGGTGCTGAACGCGTCTTTGCCGTACTGGACGATGAACACCTGTGACACCATGGTGGCGATCCATATGCCGTAGAATATAGGGTTGGCGAAGAGACCGCGGAACACGTTGAGCTGGCCGTGGATCTTACGCGCGTTGATCTCGTTGAACAGCATCATCATGACGAACGTGTTGAAGATGACGGTGAAATGTTGCGTGGGCTCCGAGCCAAATTCGGCTCCGCGGCCGGTCGGTATGTCCAGCATCGTGTCGCCGGCGAACAGCAGTGCGAAGATAACGGTCAGCTGGTAGACGGCCTGGCCGACGATGTTCTTCGTCATGGTGCGCGATATCAGAGGCTTCGTACGGCCGTAGGGTTTCCGCAACAGCAATTCGGAAGTGGGCATTTCAGTGGCCAACGCCAACGAGGCCAGCGTATCCATGATTAAGTTCACCCACAACATTTGAACGGCCTGGGCGTAAACAAAATCCAACGTCAGCCAATCATACATGTTATATACAATATGCATTTGGGTTTTTTGAAAAATATTAATAATCAATCAACGTTAAAGGATTTAAAAAAAACATTCATGTGGGATCGAATACCTAACACAACAAAAAACGCTTTGATTTTTTTTTATATATAAGACGAAGCGTGTTTTTCAATACTTCGAGTCATATCAACAACTTATGAGACATCATAAATCATAAAACTTTTCATATTAATGTATCGTTAAAATAACAGTTATTTTTAAACTATCGTTTATACTCTGTCTCGTATAGGTTTCGTATAAAACTAACCTCAGGCGGCGAACCGAGTTTCGTTCGGTTTGGTCAGATCACACCTCTTGTTACCGTCGTCGTCTCAACTTTCGATTCCAACCATCGACCACGACTGAACAATCATTTTACCGTTGTTATTATTAGCAAAATACAAGGTAGGAATAATAAAATCACGCATCCCTGATCTAACGGTTAGATTATAATTTATAACCTAACAGTATTTAAAGCTTCGTAAAACAGAAAGCGCCCCCCCCCCCAAGGTTACTCTCATAATATAATCAGGCAGAGTATAATCGATAAAATCTTCTGTTAGATGGGAAATATTATATAAGTATAAATTGTTGTGCGTTTACTTTTTAACTCATTAATTCTGGTTAGTTTCACAAGTAATTCGATCAGCTTTGTGATAAACTTTCAGTAAAAAAAAAAACCACTAATGTTAGTACATTCGTGTTTGACGTTACACTTACCTTCAGCGGACTATCTTGGACGGCACATGCTCCTATAAACGCTACAATAACAGCTACCAAATTTACGGTTAACTGAAACTGTAAAAACTTAACAATGCTGTCGTACACATTACGACCCCACATAACGGCTTTAACAATACTACTGAAGTTGTCATCTGTCAAAATAATATCTGAAGCTTCTTTAGCTACATCTGTTCCAGCAATACCCTACAAAAATAAACATACGAGTACACATTGGCATAAATAGTGTTTGAAATTTGAGGGGGCTGAAGCTCAGGTCTATACTTGAAACTCTTATGGTGGTTTTAAATTATAGTAGTGAAATCATTAGTTTTTTTGGGGGGGGGGGCTATAGAAACTCTAAGGGGGGCTAAAGTAAGCTAGCCCCCCTCCTATTTGCTCCTATGCGAGTACATTAAGTGGATGATTAAAATGTCAACTAATCTGACTGTTGAACAGAGCGTGAGTTTTTCCTGTAAAGTCATTTTCGTTGATATAAAACACCGTCCCCCCCCCCCCTAAATAGGTATCGAGCTGTAGATTAGTAGAAAAGTATTATAATTGATGTTGTAACTGAAATATGAAATATAATTTAAAATTTTATAAAATTTCGGAAAATTGGAAAATCAGGCACCGACACCCTTAAACAATTATAAACACCTGTCACACGAGTATTAAAATAAATAATAGTTATTATTAAAAACCAACCTATTTACTTTGTTTTAATAACTAAACAACCAACCGTTACAAATCATACAAGTAATAGAAATTGTTAACAACTAATAAGTAATTACGTGTTTTTCATAAAATATATAGTTATTACTTATTATTATTTTTAGCTTTTATTTTATAATTATTTATATTTAATACCATGGCAAATCCAACGTCAGCTATTTTTAATGCAGGGCCATCATTGGTACCGTCACCGGTCACTGCAACTACCTCACGACATTCATTCACTTTACTGTCAATAATACCCTTTACCAGTGTGTATTTATCTGTTGGCGATGACCTAGCCAATACTCTCAATTT